GAGAGGATAGTAGGAGAGGCTAAAGGCTAAGACGAAGGGGCGCCTATCAAACCATGGTAACAATGGTAATAGGAAAAGGAAAATGTAAAAATAAAAAAAAAAAAAAAATATTAATTATTCTGCATTTTTTTTCGGAAATTCGGACATATTGTACGTCAATTTATATCGTTATATTGATATTCGTGATATTCGCTTTATGAAAAAAAATTGAGGCAAAATAGGATATTTTATTAATTTTTTAAATAATATTTTATAGTAAAAATCCTCAAGACAAATAATTGAATATTGAGAAATTAGAATTCTTCGAAAATTGGAATTCGACGCTTTTGCGGAATTTTTAATATTCCCGCTTTCGATTCCAGAGACATCTGTTCTTCCCCGGCGATGGGGCGAGGGAAATTCAAATTTTTTCATTAATTTTTCTCTGATTTCCCGAGACTCGAGGAATTTCTAGATTTTTTTCAGTTTTTATCGAAACTAGGAGCCGGATAATCTCGAGAACCATCGGTTCTACGACCAAATACCAGAAGACTTTTTTAATCACAAATTTAATGAGCTATAAAAAAGTTCCTCAGGGTTTCACCCTCCGATTAATAGTTTTCGATGTAAACCAATAATTAAGTTAAAACTGATGTCACGTTTCAGAAAGTAGTTTAGACTCATGATTTTCTGGTAATCTCGCGTTATCACTTCGTCGATACCCGAGATAAGAATCGATTGATAGCCTCGGATATCGATGGATAACTGGTTCAATGCCTGTGACTCAGTCTTGATCTACATTTCCCTGCAACAATTGACGTTTAATTAAGTTCAATGGCTCGATAATGTTTTTAAAACGACGGAAGTATCCGGAATTAATTGAGGCCTCTGCATTTATGTCTCTCGTATGTCTCATTATGGTATCGACATCCCTGGGTACTCAAAAATGGACAGTAGGAACAGCTTCTGTTGTTGATGATGTTGAAGATGTTGATGACTCCACAATTAATCAGGGACTCCTTGCGGGGACTTTAATCCGGAGAATTTTGGATAGTCCGAAGGCCTATGACATCTATCGTAAGGATTCCAACAAATTCAGTCAATTTACTCATTATTTCATTCACTTTTATTTATTATTTCTCAGTTACTTGTTTACTGGAGGAAAATGTATGTGCGTGGAGTTGCCTGGCGGATGCAGATGCTCGAGAAGAAGAGGTCCAACGCCTCTTCAAAGGGGAAATCCCACAATTTAATTGCGCCCCCGTGTCGACATCGAGGATTTCACTATCAAAATTCATCCCACGTGATGATAACACCACAACCATCACCCTAACCAACGGTAATAACTCTAATCAATTGAACAAACCATTTCCCTGGAATTTAAATGAATCACTTCAACTCATTTATTTTTATATTTTGATTGTTTAAAAAAATTATTTCCTTGAATCATTATTTGGAATGATTCAAAATAATTACGGGTGAAAAATTCGAAAGTTATTTAAACAATAATCAATAATCAGATGCAGATGTAATTTTTGTCTCTTACTGTCTTTTTAGAAAAATGAATTTCTTTTGTTGTGATATTTTTTTTTAATTAATAATTAATTTTTTAGGTACATATACGGGAGAATTCTTGAATGCCGGAATATTCTACGGTACATTATCCGCTGTGATATTTACTCTGATGACTTTATTCCTGTTATTCCTTTTGTCCGTGGTAAATTGCGTTATTTGCCCGAAAGATCCGATCCTGAATACCGCAGGAATGGTTATTTTAGCGAATGTTGCTTTAGCAGCTAATCTACTGGGGGTAATTCTTTATGCCTCTAATTACGGTATCTGGATAAAGAACAACATTGGAATAAGAGACACAATTGTGAAGGAGTACGAATCGACAGTATCTCTCGGATATTCCTTCTGGTATTTTTTTTTTTCAAATCGAATAAACATGATGACGTACATGAAATTTTGTTTATTTATATTGTCTTTTTTATTTTATTCAGGCTCTTCACGTGCACCTGTTTCCTGACTCCTCTCATCCCAGTCTACATTTTCATAAGGAATCACTTACTGAGAAAAGATAGAACTGAGATTGTAATTGTTATCGACAACGTAAATGACCCCACGACAGTTCTTTATTAGGGCTATAATAATAATAATAATAGCAATAATAACAATTAATATTAAATTACTTTCAAAAACGGAAAAAAAATTTCATTGAAAAATCTATCGGTTTGACTCACATCTTTAATATACACTTGAATAATAAGTATTAATTAATTTAATGAGGCACATGCGAAAAAATAATTGTTATAATATTATAATATTATTATACATAATATAGATAATGTGAAAGAATAAAAAAATAAATAATGAATAGAAATGACAGTGGATGAGAAATTCAATGAATTTTTGTTTTTTTATAAAATTATTAAATAAAATTTTGAAATAAAATTGTTGTAAACTGCTGCCACCTGCTGTTCTCCAGTGAACGAGGATTTGAGCAGGTGGAAGGGTTTCTCCTGGTCCCACTCTCGGTGTAACTCCAATCCTCTGAACACCTCAGTATACCTGGAACGCGTCAGTTGTGAATGTGAACCTTTGGTGAACCTTTGATGTACCTCTAGTGTATCTGGTGTCAGTGAAGCGTCGGTGTTTAATTGTAAAATTGTTGGCCAGTGTTTTATCCCGAGAGATCACCGATGAGTGGATATCAAATGAAATTGATAAATTGAAATTTTAATCAATGTGAGGGTCAATGAGGATCGGTGATAACCGGTGGGGCGAAGTGGAGACGATGCTGAAGGTAAGGAAACAGGTCTTGAATTTTTTTTATCATTTATTTTTCTCCGACAAATCCGTGAACTCTGGATTTCCTCTTGTTCACTTCCTCGGGTTGAAGTTACACGGGATAAATAAATTTTTTTTTTAACGTAAATTTTCTTTCGCGCCTGCGAACCGATTTTTTATGGGGTAATTATCGGATTTATTTATTGGGTAATTGTTCATCGATTTGGGGATTTGATACTCGGGGATTAGGTCGCGAATCGCGGGGGTAAAAATTGTAATTGTTCAGTATCTCGTGGTACCCTGGGAACCCTCCGAGGAAGAACCGTTGCTAGAGGATTTAGAAAAACTAGGTCATATGAAGTGCACATTACCAGTAAACTCTAGCGATTGATGCACTCTAGGATTTCCCCTTAATTTATCTGGAATTCCTAAAAAAAAAAGAATTAAAAGATAATTAGACAATCCTCTTGACTGTCCGTAATGAATTTCGAATTTATTGAAAAATAGAATGTAATTATTTAAATAAATGAAATCGGACCAGTGATTTTTTTTCGGGGAGATTTTTTCATAGTAATTAAATTCGCTATTATTTTTAATTATTTCGTCGGACTTTCTCCGTAAAAATGGACGATTGCAGAATGAGGCAAATGTCATTGGGATGTGAGGAAGAAATCGTGGATAGATTACGTCATGTAAAATGCTGAGTGCTTAGAGCATCGAATTACGAAGAAACCGGTTGATATTCCTGTATCCGAGGGAAGAGGAAGCGGAGGAAAGACATTGATATTCCACTGGGGAATTCGAATCGAATGCAATGTTCCAGGACATGGGTATCTTATGGTGTTTGCAGTGTGAATAGACTACAATGAATATCAAATTCGAAAATAACTGCTTTAAATTGCCCGAATGATCATCAAACAATTCAGATGCTGTAAACAAATAAACAAATTCTCCCCGACCCGACGAAATTCCTGAGGCGACAATTAAATTCCTCCACCAACCCTCAGAAACTAATAAAAAAACCCCACAAATCTTTAATGAAACAATTATTCCCTAATTACGGTAAATACCAATTTGTTGGAGTTTTAAATAAATAAAAAATTGAGGAGTTGAGAATTTTTATTGGATCGATGTTGAGTGAATTAATAAAATTCCTAGGTGAATTATAGAATTGGAAAGTTAAAAGATTTAAGTGGATGAAGAATTGAAAGATCAACGAAAAAAGAAAAAGAAAAAATTCTCGAGTGCAGGGTAAATTGAATAAAAAAATTGTTAGCAGTACCGAAAGAAGTCCAAGTACTTGAGAATTGTTTCTTTTAATCTGAGATCGTGAGATGTAGAGCTGCTCTAGCCTGAGGCAATCGTGAATCCAAATAAGAGCAAACATTCCACATAATACTCGTTATCTTTCTCAACGTGTACCGATTGCAATGTTTCTTTCAGGCTCGAGGGCCAAGGCTAACCAACGGATTCCATCCTTTCTTTTTCCCCGGTTTTTATTCCTTTCATCCTTTCAATTTGTCGGGAATACATCACCGAGTTATTTCCTGCTTCACCCGACAATTTACGCAATACTCATATTTTTTTTATTCGCGTAATTATTAAAAGCCGGTGAAAGCATATTTTTTCTTATTTTATTTCTTATTCCTGGGGATCTGTTAATCACAGGATTACGGTCTGTTCTCTTTATCTTGCTGGAGTTCTCAGGATGATTCTTAAGAGAATGGAGAGCATCTTTCAATTATTAATCCGTGACGAATTTTTATTACTGCTCATTACTCACCTTTTATTCTGCAAGAAAAATGAAGGGTAATTATTCATTATTTTAATTACAATGGCGGGCTTTTGGTTTAGTAATAAAAATTCCGGGGGTTTTAGGCGGGGGTTTTTATTTAATGATGATTTATTCATTTTCGTAATTAGCGAGTGAATTTGTAAATGATTTTATTAGGACAATCACAAATTGCGACAATTGCAAAGAAGTTGAAAATAGACTCGTTGAAAGTGCAAAGCCAGGATTAGGACGATGCACTTGTTCTCGTTTTAATCCGAGAAACTCCGGGTTGATGACCACAGATAATGGAGTGAGCAAATGCTGAGCTGATTGTATGGAAATCGAGATTACGAAATAATTAGAATCTCAAGTGTCGGAATGTTGAATAATTTCGAGCGAGATAAAAATTGAAAATTATTCACTGAAAACACCAAGTTGCCGAAAAATTGTGGGTCAATCATTGCGAGAGTCTGAAAAATAGAAATAACAAATTATGTAACAGAAGAATTACTAATTGAGTTATTTTACAGTCGGTGTAAACATGACGAAAGTGAGAGTCGTTTTTTGTGTTTGAGAAGAAAATAAAAGAACTATTCTTCCCTACTAGACACTTTTAATTTCATTGAGACACTGCAAGTGTTTTTTTTTTTTCATTATTTCATTACCCGAATAAAAAGTAAACAATTATTTCTGTCCCTGAATTAAAAAACAATTGGAACAATTGCATTTGCAGATATTCCAGCAGCAGAAGGAGCAGCAAACGGATGAGCCGGTGGAAATTCAATCCGCATGGGAATGGTTTCAATATTATATTCAAAAAGACTGACAATTTTCGAAAATAAAAAAGATAAAAAAATGCTAAATGAATCCTAGAGAGTGGAAAATGACAGGTGTAGAATTTTAGAGTCGATTGAGTTGTGAAGATTGCATTATAATTTCGCTGGGGTGTATCAGCCCAGCGGATAAATAAAATATTAAATCGTGGAAGGGAATTCGCGAAAAACGGCGAGCCATTACGGGTATTCATATCAAAATTCCTGGGCTTGCAGCAACGGTCCAGCTAGTTTGTACGATTGCAGCTCGAGTCCCGTAGTTCGTGTACCTCAACTCGATGAGGACTACAGGCCCATTTATTTTTATGTAGCTCAGCCTTACACCATACCTTATACTTTTGCCAAAAGACCAAAACAGTCGTCATTGCAAAAACCAGGTAAACAGCGGGGAAATTATCGCGTCAAGTTCTCCAAGAAGTTGAGTAGCGCTGAGTTCTCGCAGAAGGTCAAGCAGGGAGAGTTCTCCAAGAGTCTCAATCAGGTGCAATTCGTTGAGGATCCGGTACCAGGTACATTTCATTCACCTGAACTCAAAAAATATTCGCTATTAATTACCGTAACTCCCGTGAAACGATAAAATCCCAGAACTCAAACTTCATTTTTAGAATTTCATATTAAATTTCATTAAATTACGGAGATCTGAGGGAGATACCGAAATTTTTGTAACCACCTTTTTTGTAGAGATAATCGAGAGCTACAAAAAAGGTCATCACAAAAATCCCGGTACTTCCCTCAGGTTCAGAGAAATTTTCAAATTTTTCATTCGGGTTGATTAAAGGAAGCGTAATGAGTGATTTTTATTTATTAGACCTGAGTACCAGAAAAATTCGCTGATAATTCATTTTTTCTGTCACGCAGTCATTATTCTTGTCCTCAGAAATCACGAGTTTCACGAAATTCGATCAACATCCACGTGACCCCAGGATGACGTCGATGTTCCGTCGCGGTACGATATTCGCAACATTTTTTCTGTCACTTCTGGGTGGTGGTCTCGTATGTGCAGCTTTGGTGACACAGCATTGGATTGATGCGAGACCATGGAGAACACCAAATCCTCAGGAGTCTGCAGGTCGTGTACATTTTGGTCTCCTAATGGGGAAAAAAGAGCTCAACGTTGCGTACGGATGGCGGACGTATCACATATCCGGTAATTTCAGCAATAACATTAATTATACTCCATTAATATTCTCTCAACATTCCCAAAAGTAAATAATTTATCATTTACAAAGAAAAATTTAATTTATGAATGAGAAAAATGTTAAATGCCACTCGTTTCCATTCACTGTTTGATTTCCCCGAGTATTCAGTCTAGTTATTCAATCGTCGGTCATGGTTTATTCCGTAATTCTCTCTCTTTACGATTTCTATCACCTGCTCCACTTTTTTCATCCTACGACCTACGTGTCATTGACCAAATTGCCAACTTATCACCTTGAAGCAAACCACTAAGATTATTCAATAAAGATTAGATTGTAGTTGCATTAATTGAGCCTTGAAACTCTTGCGCAAATGCTGACTATCGACAGCCATAAATCATTATGAAAAGATGATTAATTACCATAACAAACCGACAAATGACAATAAAAATACCGAATCCAGTATTAATTACAAATTTCCTTGAAATGTCATCAAAACTCCATGACAAGAGTTCCTAAAAAAACGCAAAACTTTTCTCGTTAACTTTTCTCTAGAGAATTTATTTTCTGAATAGCCCTGTCCTCGGAATGAAAAATAAATGAATTTTTATTTAAACAACCGTGTAATAACCACCAGCAGTGAGATGAATGGTGAATGTCATCAAGAAACTCCGGAGGCGTTGATGTTTCCATAACGATTTGAAAGTCTGTGAGGAAAAACAGGATGTCAGGATGAATAGTAAAAATGTCATGAAATAAAATAGAGGATTCCTGGGTGTCGGTGATTAATCGTCGGTGAAAAATTAATGAATAATTTCTCGTTTTCATCATTCCCTTCACCAGTTGGTGATAATCTACACGTCCTAGAGGCATTCGCCCAATGAAAAGGAATTGAAAAGGGAAAGGAGAAATGTTACGCTGTGAATGAAAATATTTTTCTACTGTTGGTTTTGTTACGTATGCACTGCAGAATGAATTATAGACTAGAGAGCGTTTGTTATCCCTTGGGGGCGTCAAGGTGTTCCGAGGAGTGCACTTTTCGGTTGAGTGCACCTAGGGGATCTAATACTTCCTCCTGATGATCATTCTTACGCATGTACACATCTGTTCAGTAATTAATTAGAATTTATCCAACCGGATGTACATTAAATAATTCTATACGAAGGGAGATAGAATTGAGTTTTTTAAAAATTGATTTTCTATCGAATTATTGAATCTTTCACAGGATCTTCTCAGGATCTTATCATTTTTTTAATTTCTTTTTGACAGTTCCACAGATGATCAAACTGGATCCATCAGTCATGCACTGGGGCCTCTGGATCTCTACCCTAGTCACCACTTCTGCGGCTTTAGTTGCTGCAGCCCTTTCAGCACTTTTAGCTGTATTAAATACCGCAACGACACCGAGAGCTAAAATTTTGTCAGTTCCTGGGGTTTATTCCATGAATATTCTCACTCGTAAGTGGTTCGGGTTGATTTATCAATTAATTTCAGCGGGAAAGCGCCGATGGGGAATTGATTTGGGAAGATAAGAGGATTAATTAATTCGTATTGTTTTGCAGTTCTTCTCTGTGTGGCCAGTACTGCTACCTGGCTAGCCCAGTATTACGTTAAATTATACACAAATGTCCTCCCGAGAGAGGACATCGACAACATGTGGACCAGTGAGGGATCTGCAGAGCTCGGGTATTCATTTTGGTGAGTAAACAGAAATTTTTTACTTCTCAATTTTTTACTGTGAAAAACTGCAAGAGAAAAGAACATTAAAATTAATGAGGAAAAATTTATCCTCAGCTCTGGGCCCCTGGGGCTCATCTATGATTTTTGGGGGAGTGAATGGGGAAAGTTACTTTTCTATTTTTAATTGACATTTTTTTGTCAATTATGTGTTGATTTCCTGATGAGGATAAAATCTTCAGACAAGAAAAACGGAGGAAAACATATTTTCGCCTGGGAGTTGCTCTCGAATTTCGCGAAAACTCTGTCCCGAGAACTTTCTAACGAACGCATCAGTTAATTCTCGTATTTTTTCCTCTCGGCATCCTTGTATTCATCCTTGTCCTGAGTGTGTAGTCGTTACGCCCGAGATGAAACAATGCGAAGTAAAAAAAATGAAAAAATCAAGTCGGACGCAACAACTCCAGAAGCTCACAGGCACTTGCAATGAGACTTCAGGCCTGTCTCATACAGAGAATGGAAGAAAAAAAATCATCTGAATCGCTCGCGGAATAATCATGCAATAATAACTGGTGATTAACTAATTACGGGAATTTTAATTATGCATTTTATGGTTTTAGGCTCGTGGTGAGTGCTGGGGTTGTTCACCTCATCAGCATAGCATTAGTCGGGTGGGGATCTGGCAGAGCCAAGGACGATCGTCTAGAACCTATTCCCGCCCTCGAGGAGAAAACTGCTGCTGCCATAATGCTTTATTAGACAATTTATTATCAAAATTCTGCCATTTCGGGTGATTAACATTTCAGTTTGAAGTAAGAAGAATTGAATTTTCGATTGAAAAATCGATTATCTCGCTTTGCTGAATTTAATCGCAAGGATTTCGACTGGAAATCCTAGAGACACCATTGCCAAGTTAAAGTATGCATCCGAGCAATCCTATTTTTACAGATATATTTTTTTTTTCATTAGGATTATTTAGCGGAAAGTGGTAAAATGGCACGAGGTCGTGTCAATATTTTTGTCAATTGATATTTTTAATATTGCTCTCGTGGTGTGCGATTATTCCACTCTCACACCTGTAACTGTATTTCTCCACCTGAGTACATACTTATATGGTACATAAAGCGTGCGAATTTGCTGTGTTTGGATGATGAAATAGTGCTTTTGTGGAGAACTATGTAAGAACTTGTAAATAGAAAGTCGCGGGACAATAATTATCATCTACAGTAGAATAATTAAATTATTACGAAAATTCTAGGATTATTTTTTCATTTGTAATTTTAATTCAGAGTGAAATAAAACGAAATCATTCATGCCGAGGAATTGATGCCAGTGGAATTGGAGTGGAATTTTTGAAAGAATTAATTGAATTGTCTAAAATATTGGGAAAATCGGGCGAAAGTGATGAGTAAAAATCTTCAGATACAAGAGAACTTTATTAATAGAGGTGCGCCGAACTAGCAACATAACACCTCATTGCTCACATACATAATTCCCTCCTTCAATTAAACTTAATTTTTTCCGGTCACTGTATCTCATTTATTACAAAGCACGAAAAGTCCATTGAATTTGATTTTAAAATAATACTCAATTCGAAATAAAAGTGAAAAAAAAAATCGATGAAATTCAAATACCTATACATCCGCACTCCTGCATCATTACTAAAAGTAAAAAGTCTGGCAGTAGAAAATGATTTTGTGGTCTCCGATAATCCCAAAGCTCCGAAAAAAAAAACAATCGAAACCCCTGTAATTCCCAGTTGCTCAGACCAATTATCGTAAAGATTATTTGAATTTTATTACTTTTCCTTCCTCAGTATTAATAAATGAGATAATTTCTATCAGATTTTTAGCGTTTGACTACGCGCGACCAGCCGTCGTCTTCTGCTGTCTCTCGTCGCTCCTCGCGTTTCGGTTTTTCCTCCCGACGATCACGATCATCTCTGTCATCCCGCTTGCTCGGTTGCTCGCGTGGAGAATCCTGATTATCCCTGGTCCTCCATGAGCCCTCAGTAGACGCAGAAGATCGTTGATACCTGGGTCTGTCATCCTCGGGTCGTCTCATACCTTCAGCTCGTTTCGGTGGGCCCCTCTCCGCGACTCTATCATCCCGTCTATCCTCCCTTCTAAAATCCCTCCTGTCATCTCTGCGATCATCCCCATCGCGTCTATCATCCCTTCGATCATCGCCACGCCTCCAGTTACTACCCATAGTGCGAGTGGGTCCTTTATCGAATCTGGAATCCTTGTCCTTGGAGAATCCTCCCCACTTGCTAGCCCTCTCATCATCCCTGCGCTTTCTATCCTCCTCCACCCTGGGCTTGGGCTCCTCCCTGGGTTCACTCCTCCAGGATGACATCTCCACAGGCTTTTCCCTCTCCCTCTCCCTCTCACGGAATCCCCCACGATCACTTCTACCCCTATCGCGATCCGCATTATCTCCTCGCCGCCAAGTCGATGGCTCCATATTCTTACGCCTCTCCTCCTCGAGTTTCTTTTCGATCTCCATCTCCTTAGCCCTGATGATCTCCGCCTGTTTCGCCAATTTCTCCAGTCTCTCAGCATCCTTGGCAGCCTCCTCCTCCCTTCTGATCCTGTCCTCCTCCTCCCTCTTTGCCCTCTCCTCCTCCATTTTCTTCCTCTCCTCCTCCTGCTTAATCCTCAATTCCTCCTGATACTTCCTCTCAGCTGCCTCAGCCTTCTCCCTCTCCCACTTCTCCCGTCTCTCCGCTTTTCTCTCCACTCTTCGCTCCATCAGGCGTATAATCCTCTCCTCACTGAACTTCGCCTCGAACTCCACGAGTTTCTCCAGGTAAACGTTCTTCCTCTCTGAGAGAATCTTCGAGAGGAATACCTCAGCGTCTTCCTTCATCTTGAGCATTCTCTCCCGAGTCGCGACAGCCTGGTTGCGCTCCTCAATAGCAGCCAGAATTCTCTCCTCCTCCTGCTGCTCCCAGCACTGCTTAGCCAACTCCTGCTGCTCCTCCACAGCCTTCTCCAGGAGTGGAATCTCAGCGATTCTCTTGGCACGCTCCAGGTAATCCACCTTCTTCTCCTGGGACTTGAGCTTCTGCTGCATCTCACGACGTTCTTTCTGCAACTCCTCAGCCTCTCTCGCAGCTATTTGCTCAGCATCCAGCTTCTTTATCTCGTCCTCATCGAGTTTCTTCAGGACCTTCTGTCCATGACTCGTCTTCGATATCTGATCCATCTTCTCTTTGAGATGACGATCCTTGATCTGCTGGATCTCACTCTGCTGGCGTTTACGCTCCCTCTCTTCACGCTCCTGCTCCAGGCGTTTCTGCTCTGCCATCAGCTGCTGTCGATGGAGTTCCTCCTGCCTCCTCATCTCCTCCTCCTCGCGAATTGTATTGACACGCTCAATATACTCTTTACGCTGCTCAATAATCACCTGTCGCTCGAGAATTCTCTGGTGCTCCTTGCTCTTGGTCTCGTGGTAGAGTGTAACCATCGCATTTCTCAGCTTCTCACGTTCCTGTTTACGTTTATTTGGATTAATAACGTTGATGGCACGATGCAGGACAGTTGCCATATTGACGAGTTGACAGCGAATTTGCTCTGAGGGCATTGCCTGGAGGACAGGTCCATCAGGATGATCTTCACGCTGTGCCTCACTGAGATCAACTCCAAAGTGAATACAACGCTTTCCATGATCAATTCTTATTTGCATGTCGTTGTAACGAACGCAGTCCACGAGAAGACGCTCCAGGTGAAAAGCTGTCGTGAATTTAGCGAGTTCAATAAGACGTGCGAATTGAATTGTCTGATAAACTTGAGATATCTGGTGTACAAGACGAACGAGTGTTACATCCTGGAGTGCTGAAACGTATTGAGCGAGAGTACTCGTTTCATCGACCTGAAGTGTCTGGATGACAGATTGCACGCGTGAGCAAAGCTCCAGAGGATGGAAATCGACCTCCAGCCAGGAGTAGAGGTCCTGGAGCTGGGGTGATGCCAAATTAACGACATTGAGACGTACAATATCTCTGAGAAGTGATGCACGAGTTGGTGGCTGGCTAAGACCAAGAAGAATAGCCAGTTTTTGTGCTTTTTCCAGAGGAGATTTATCAGTCTCGATGAATCGATCGAATTCGGGATGGGCTGATGGCAGAGGAATTGAGAGTGTCGCCAGGAGGACTCTGTTTGCCATTCGCTGCTGCTCGTCTGGGGACATGTTCTTTTTCATCTCTTTGGACAGCTGAAAAAGTTTGAAGAGAGCTGCTGCGTGGAACAGATAGTTTCCAGCCTTCCAGAAGACCATCGCCAATTTCTGGTAGTAATTTGCCATCGTCTTGGGGACTGGGAGCTTCTTAGAGAGATTCATGAGCCCGTGGATATCCTCGGTGGCTTTGTAAGCCTCTTGCCAGAGTTCCATCTGAATAGCTGAATCCAGTTGGATCAGGCGTGTCTCCAGGTTCAGCTGCTGGGTTTCCGCTTTATTCATGGAGACATTTGAGACCAGCTGGGGGAGCTTGCAGATCTCCTCCAGGTGCTTCCGGAGTTTCTCGCAGAGTTTTCGAAATTCTGTTTTTCGGTTGTACTCCAGGCAGAACTGAAAGGCCATTCTTGCGATGTCGTGGTAGAGAGTCTCCACGTGAGCGTTCGTTCTGAGGAGCTCCAGGCACTGGCAATAGGATTCCCACAGGAATTTCACCCACGGTGTGAGAATGGTTCGATCACTTCGATCCTGTGCATCCTCTCCACTCACTGCTGACAGGAGAATACTCTCTGGAGTCGCCAAATTATCCAGATCATCGATATCAACTACTGCTTGTTGACTCTGTTTTCTCGCAGCGTCTGTCTTCTCCTCTGCCATCCGCAGGTATCCACGAATAACATTCTCCAAACTTCCGACGTTCACTGATTGAAACATATTTCGGTATTGGAACAGACCCTCTTTTGCTATGTGAGATTTTTTCAATTCCACGCAGAGGTCCAAGTACTTGAACATTATCGGCTCCAAAACCGACTCCGACCAGCTGTACGTCCATTTTTTGTTACGGAAGACTTCCTGGAGAGTGTCGAGAGCTCTCGCTGGTTTTCCCACCTCAATGAACTCTGAAAATTAATTTTATTTGTCGGAAAAGGTGGAATTGGCGACATTTACTCAAAAAAATGGAAATAAAAAAATTTTAATAATAATAATTGCTCCAAAAAATGCGCATTTGCATCGAAATAAACCGATCATGATCTCCTGACCCCAGCGTATGTTCGAATGACTAAAATTCCCCTGTAAAAATGCCAATGTGAAAAGGGCAGATGTCAAGTGGCATCGTGGCAGTAAAAATCCAATCAATTGTTGTACTCTTTTTTTTTTATCGAGATAAGTACAGATCGGAGAAAGATCCCAAGGAATTTTCTCGCTCCGATCATCTCGGGGAGAATAACGTGGTGAGGTATGGAGGTGTGAGGATAGCAAAAATGAGAAATTCTAATCGGCCATATTGCATGTGAGACGTGTTAAAAAATGAAGGGTACTCGAAATAAAAGACTCACCATTGGCCCGTTTCAGGGCGTTCTCGGGACGCTGCCCATATCTCGCCATTTTCATGAAATTCTCCTGCCAATGGCACTTTGACACATGAAACAATGAAGCTGGAAGACTCCAATGAATTAACCGGCCTCAACAAATATACAAAATCCTGATTAACGTCAGGATCTCCTCGGGTGCACGAGCGATGAGAACCGCGTGGACCGGATGAAAGGCGGTCACAAGGAAAAAATGGCTTCCCGTAATATGCGAGTCAAATGAGATATTTAATTAAATAAATTGTCATCAATCCACTCGTTCTTTCATTACCAATTCATTATTATCAATTCACTACTATCTACTACTATGAATTCACTTGTCATTTTTTCTCGTTTTCCCAAAAAAGGGAGGGAAAATTCAACTGCAGTCGATCAATCGAAAATTATAAGAAAAATATTCAATTGGAAAATTTAAAAAACATATTGTTTATCGATTTGTTCATGTTTTCAGACAGATGATGATTTTTTTTGTGTATGCGTAATTGATTGATTTTCATTTTTCACGTTTTTTTTAAATCCAAGGAAAATTTGGCTAGGGGATTGTGGGGACTTATGAAAGTCACTAGTAACTAGATCCCAGGCGTTAACGAAAAAAAATCATAATATTTTGACGTCTACCAGTGGGCGTTTTATAGCCTAAAATTTACATTTGTTTATATGGAATATTGGTTTAGTGGAGGGATCAATGATATTTTTTTATATGTAAATGTTTTATGGGATTATCGGTGGGGGAGGTTTAGGGTAAATGATGGTTGGAATATTTTCGGAGTATTTTTTTGATAATTTTGAGTGCTGAACTGATGGCTCCTCTCACTGACTTGATTTCCTGCAGTATAATTGGTATGAGTTGCTAATTAATTGGGGTAATTAGTAGATTAATTGATTTACAATCAGACAGGTCGATGTGTTTTTATTTTTGAGGAATTCTTTTTCGGCAGATTCTCTGTGAATTTGAAGATATATTTTTTCGTTTGACAAATCGATGTTTAGGGATGAAAAATAATTTTTCGAACAAAATTGATAGTTAAATTGTGATATTGTCTTGAATAAAATAGTGAAATATTGTAGAGAAAGACTGCAACGGAGATGCACTTTGGGCGTGGACTTATCCATCAGTATCAAAGGCCCAGAAATCAGTCGTGACTCGAAAATGCAATTTGCAATCAGAGAGCACAAGTGCACAGTCGTTCGTCTGTGCGAGATACAGCGACAATTGGTTCTACATTCACAGCAGCGAGGTCTTTGATACGGATAAATTGCCTCGGGTGAATAATCATTTTTATTTTTCCCTCTCGATCCATTCGCCTCTCTGATGATACAATTGACACTAGAAATCGATTGTAAATAAAATACTTAATACTTTTTTCTGGATATCAGGTGAAACAATTTGCTCTCGTTATTTTCACGAAAGACTTCAATCCTCAAAAATACGAAGTACTGTGCAGAGTACTGAGTAAAATGTACTGCAAGACTGGTAATCCAACGGAAATACTACAATTGTATCTGTCAGTATTCACAAAGGGCTCATGCACAACTCAAGAGAATGGCATTTTTATGTCAGACGATTACAATGGCCAGAGATTGGTCGCTGACAGTAATATTCGAGGACTCGTGAAAACATTTGAGCTTGAAACAATACTGATCTATACCGCGTTATTATTGAAGAAGAGGATTATTGTTTATCATCACAGTTTGGAGGAGTTGCTCAAGTGGATCAAGACATTTCCAGCTTTGATGAAGCACAGAAGAGTCACTGACAATCTTTTTCCTTGGGTCGACCTCGTGCAAGATGAATTGGCTGAGCTAAAGGTATAATTCAGTGACTGATTAATTTATTATCGAGAAAATTTGAAGTCGTCTCATTCATTTATTAAATTTTCATTTATTTTTTTCAGGGCTATTCTTATTATATTGCAGGCTGCAGAGACAGCTCGATCTCCTCAAAGTCCGAATTATTCGATCTACTTGTAAATATTCCTGCAAGAGAGATCGCAGTTGCTCCACATGCGAAGGAAAGTTTCACAATGACCAAAACACATAAGGAAATTGCCCTGTTTCTGGTGCAGCTGTCTGAGAATCAGGCGAACACTGAGGCTCAAATAATTCATGAGATTGCTGAAAAGACTCAGGATCTTTTGAATCAATTGAGGAGCTTAGCCACTGTTGATAATTCAGAGGGTAGAAAAATAATAAAGCTTGAAACATTTCGTGAACGCAATTTGCCAACTGCTGTTGAACATTTTCTTATCAATCTTGCTACTGCTGAAAATATTCTCGGTTTGTAAATATTTGTTACTGTGGAATAAAAGAAATTTTAATGACAAATTTACATTTATTCTCAGAGTCTGGCCTTATTTTTTTGGACTCTAAAATACGATAAATTGTTTATCATTCAAATTTACATACGTTTACGTTTAGAGAGTCATGAGATTTTTTTTTCAATTCGCTTGAGACAGAGATTATATATATGGTAATCACTTGAATTATTTAAACAGATTTATACTCCATTTCGTGAATCTCTTTGTACTGGATCCTATTTATTTTTGGAGTCGTAATGAGGTCTCGGTGTGATTATAGAGGAATTAATTAAAAAAAAGGGGAAATTTTGTTGAATTTTTCGGCATGGCAACATAAAAAAATCATCAATACATACTTGTTGAAAATAGCATCTGTCGAAGCTATAAAATATCTAGGCCACTGACATTTTAATCCGTCTTCACTCGAGCAAACGTATTTGTCATCGATTCATTTCATCAACGCAATTTCAAAATACAAACTGCTCCTCTTGGCTTTGAGGATTCGCTCATGATGTTATATCACCCTAATAATCTATAACACCGCCAGCACAATACCACGAAACCATTAAATAAATAAAAACGCAAAAAACAATGAGTTAATAATAATCAATTTTATGTTATTCTCATTATTACTGTTAATCAATCCATCGATAAGTACCTGAAGTGGTAAATGAAGTAGGAAACGGGATTCTTTCACAATTTTTATTTATTCCACATTTATTCCAATCAACTCTTCACTTTTTCCACTTAACAAGTTTATAAAATATTTACAAATTACAGAATGACGTACCAAAGGTCTTGATATCTCCGAAATTGGCAATAAATCACTTGTCCTTGGTAATTTCTCTCTTCTACAACAATGAGATCATACGACGTCGATTGAGAGGATTATCTCCTCTTACATGAATCAATATACACGAGAGTATCTCGACATTATTATATTTTCCTCAACGCTGCATTTTGTCGTCAATCACTTGAATTACAAAAGTAATAAATAAAAATCATTGCTAATTGGTAAATTTTCGCAGCGGATTCTTCGCTAAAAAAAAATTTTCACACGTTACGTAAAAGTCAACAGCTTCCGTTCTCAAAATTCATAAGTGACCAGAATTAAAAAGACGTTGGGAAGTGTGCGCTGGATTTTTTAAATTTTTATTTTCAATTTGCTAGTGGCACACGTGGCATTTGCACCCTCAGATGTTAATGCTAAGTGCCAATTATTTTGGATTACGAGAAGTTACGTAAAAGCGTCGGAAGTATTTCCTATCTCTCTGAGATTCGGGTATTTTTCACCTGAATTGTTATGTAATACTCAAATAAACTATTTAAAATCACAAGCCTGACGGAATTTCATAGAGAAATATGAATCCGATTTTTATATAAAAACTTTCCTATGGGAATTCATCGAATTCTCTGGGTTTTCCCATTAAATTTCTGCATGCGTGTATGAATGAATCAATAAACAATTGATATGATTGTACACATGGACTAGATTCAACTGAATTGATGTCTAAAAATTACAAGTCTCTATTTCTATCAGTTTTTTCTGGAATGTCATATGAATTGAAAGAATTAACTCTGGAATTTTTTTATCAGCGCGACTTATCAGAATGAATCATCTGTCATTTCCAATATTTCCATTTTATTCAGTTCCGAAATAGGAAAAATACCGGAAAAATTCCACCCAGTAATATATTTCGTAATTATTAATTAAAAGTAATTCATTAATTGGAATATTTCGAATAATTCAACTCAGTACTGAAAAAATTTCACACGAGGTCAGATGAATATAAATGAGACTAGATGAGAGATTTCAGCTGAAAACGTCTGAAAAAAAAGCGTAAAATGCAGAAAAGATTTGACGAATTTCCCTCGTTTCCTTTCAAGCTATTGAGGATTAAAGACGGTTCGCTGAACATCACTCGCCTCTCCTCGTCAAATGAAATTAGTTTTGAGTTTATTTGTTTTGTCTTTGAATGGCATGTCTATTTGATTCCCTTTGAACGTAACAACAAACTATATCTGTTCATCAATAAATTTCAGTTGCGAAATCTCAAACGTCCAGTGCTCGAATAAAATATCGATTAATCTAACAACAGAAAGATATTAAAAAAAGTCGAGATTTTTATGAGCTCCAAAAGACACACATCAATTGAAATTCAATAAAAAATATTAAATTTATATAACGAAAAATTTTTGGTGGAATCTGGCGGTTTTATAAATATTTCAAAGGATCTGGGAATGGATATCTCGAAGGAAAATCACTGGATCATTATCGAATGTCCAGAGTGAGGAAAAATAAATATCTATTCACCATTGAGTAAATCTACACCGAATTTAGTAGTAAAAGGGAATGCCGCGTAAATCACGTGGAGAAAAACGGGACGCAATAAATTTTCAGTCCAAGTAAGCCATCAGCAATCTCTCATCATCGAATTTACGACTCGTTCCACCGAATAAGAGAAAAATAACTGAATCAGTGAATTAAAGGGCTCATAAAGTGTCTCACCACTTCATAAAACACCGAGAACTCTGAAGACCTAAAAATAATCACTGCCAATTCGAAATACCCTAATTAGATAACTCGCGCATTAATTTCATTCCTAACAATTTCTAAACCGTCCCATTAAACATCGATTAATCTCGAAATCTATTGGTTTCATTAAAAAACCTAATGAGACCTTTTTTGTCGGAAATTTAATGAGCTACAAAAAAGTTTCTCATGATTTTTCTCTGAAATCACTGATTTTCGAGACAAATTGATAATAAATTTTTTTCGCCGTTCCCTCAAAATTTATTTACTCCCGCGATTATTGCAATTTTTTAATTAAAACCACCTCTACACATAACTCTCTATTTCTTTTTTCCCGATGCCAACAGTCGTGAGAATTGGCACGGTAAATTGTTTCATAGAATCATTAGTAACTTTGGTGTTGGAACTTTTATTGCTGCTCTGTCTCCTCCAATCGGACGAATTATTGCTGCTGGTTGTTGCTGTTGTCTTAGTTCTGGTTGACGTTATACTCTCCTGATTTCTATTTCTACCCAACCCGCATAGCCTGAGAAATCCCTCCCGAAACTTGGTGGACATGAGATTGTACAAAATGGGATTGATAGCGGAGTTGAGGTACAGCATAACTCGACAGAAGTACAATAAACTGTAGAAGCTCTCGACACCGATGGATATTATCGATGCTGATGGTGCTATCAGGATCCAGAGCATCAGTGCTCTGAAGGGAAGGAGACAGATAAAAAAACACAGTACCACTGTACCCAGCATCATTACCACCTGTTTTCTGTACTTGAGGAGATTATTCGCTGGTCCACGACTTATCGCTGGATTTGCCATCAAGTGCTGAGCTATTACTGTGTACAATATCATTAAAATTAAAACTGGTACGATAAAGAAGATGACGATTGTTGTCATGAAGAAGCTCTTGGACCAGGAAGTTGTTGCCTGTGTCTCGCAGTTTGGAAATCCATCGATCTCTGCGTAAGTCGTTATTGGAATAACTGGACTGAAAACGAAAGGGAATTCATTACTTCAATCGTCCTCTAAATTAATTTTTCATTATTATCATCTCAATGAATGAAATTATTATATTTATTATTGTTCATAAATTATTATAATTAGTGACACGCTCGGAACAATTCAGCAATTGTCATAAAAAATTCTCTTGCTGATCGTTAAAAATTGTTCTCCTAGAAGATCTCGTCGTCAAAGTACTTCTGGTGGTGCTTCTGTCAGTTCTCGATCTTCTCCTCAATCCACAGAGCTTTAAAAATCCCAGCCTAAATCTACTGCTCATGAGATTATAGAGAATCGGATTGATCGCACTATTAAGATAACACATAACTCGACTGAAGTACAGAATATTGAAGTATGTGTCAAGATCAATTGCATCGATATCTTCAGTGGGAGCTAGGACAATGTACGAGGTAAAAATTTTGAATGGCGCTAGACAGATAAAAAAACTGAACACCACTGTCAGGAGCATTAACACCACTTGTCTTCTAGCTCTCGTGTGATAGGAATCAGCTGTTGATGTCGATGAATCGTGGATCAGATGTCTCACCACCATGGAGTACAGCATCAAGAGAATTAAAAGAGGTACGAGAAAAAATGCTGTCGTCAGGAGGAGAATAAAAACTGTCGTAGAAGTTGTTGTTGCCTGCATTAGACAGACGGGAATTCTTGAATCCTCCTTCGTCTCCTCATGGCTCCCATTTGGACCCATTTTTGCATATTGCGATACCCAGATCATTGGACTGCAATCAACAAAAATTATGTATATATATATTTTTAATTCAGCAACGAAGTGGTAGAACTAGTGGAACGAGTCGACTCATCCAAATCATCATTCGCCCAGTTTTCGAGGAATATCTCTTGACCCAGTGGAGATAGCGAAATTTTTTTAATAACATTTTTTATAGAGGCTAATGAGAGCTGTGAAAAATGTTCTATAGAAAATTTCGTTATCTCGGTTAGTTCGAGAGATATTTATTTGTTAAATCGATCTGTTACGTGTTGACTTGATTTACTCCTTCACTACTGAATTAATTGATTGTACTTTTATTCGGAGTGAATTTTCTTTGGCTGCAGTTCAATAATTTGAGTAGAACCTCATTTTTACTTTCTTTATCGACGTATTGCTGGTGCTGGTACGATGGACACTGACGTGTAAGGAGGAATACATTCTATCACATATCGAATTTTGTAAAAAAAAAAAATGCCAGTAGTCGGTGGTAATGATATTCATATTCTTTTCAACTTCTGATCTACTTGACTATTCCATGCATGGGAAAATAACGTGTGCTAGCAAAGCAAAAGCTGATGAGAAAATACTATAACTATTAAACTGCAACCAACTATAGATTTATTTTAACGAAAAATAATACAGCGGTGATTGAAATAAATTATGAACAGTAAAAGGCGGGATATTTTTCTGGAGATTAAAGCAAAGGGCTGTGGGTGTTGCTGATTGATGAGAGGATGAGAAAATCAGTCATTGCGGGAATAAAAATCGCAGATGGAAACAGATGGGTCTGGGTTTATTTTCAATTTATGACGTGTCTGGATCGCATATGGAAATAGTTTATACAAGATTATCGGAAACGGAAGCTCTCACGTTTTGATTACAAAAAGTCCGGAAAAAATATCATAACTTAATGAAATTGAATTTTCACTCGTGATTTTTCCCAGATTTTCATCCCACAATTTGAATTCCCAATGAATTTTAATAAATTCTCAATTAAATTATTGTCATTATTATTATTGATTAATTGTAATGTAAATGTAATTGATTTTTATTTTGAATTGCATTGCAATTTTAATTTGATAATTCAAATAAATTTACAATTGAGGAAAAGTCATTGAAGGGAAATTATCGCGCGTCGTTATCAAGAAAAAATAGTACAGCTCTCAATAGTAATGGCTAATGGCTCGGAGTCATTGAAGGTGTATTATTTCAGCATTGAATTTTTTTTACTCGCCTATCTTCAGATAGTGTTTCCCACTGTGAAAACCTCAGTGGATTCTCTGTTTCCGTATCATCTTAACTGGAAATGAAGAGAAAAGCTTTCTCCCGAGTTTGTCCATCCACTTCAGACGACTTTTTTTTTCAAATCATAAAAATAAAAATGAAATGGAAGGAAACGTGCGAACACATTCCGCGAAATTTCACAAACAAAATGAAAGAATTTCATTGCCATACTCTGATATTTCGGAATAAACAAAAAATTTTTTTCGGTTCAAATGGAATAATCTCATCAGTAACTAGAGATTACTTATCCGGTAATACCCTCCCTTGAATGATAAACCCTCCTCACAGAAAAGGGCTCTTATCTATTTTTATCAGTCCGCAATGACTGAAAGGAGTGAATTTTTATCTCAATCCCGCGGTGTCTATCGTCCTGGAAGGGAATAAATTGGATCGCCCTGATTTAATCCGGAGACTTTATCCTATCCAAAATCATGTAGCCAATGAAATAAAATAAAGAGAATTTTTCCCCCAAAATATTGCACCAGGAAATGAGAAAATTTCGACTTACGGGGAAAAATCCAGTGGCAGTTTTCATTTCAGGTAATTATCAATAAAAAATTACCGCAAATATTATGTAGATGTGAAGATTATGAATTATTATTGATATTATTGTTGTGGGATTGTCGGTGGATTGTATTATATTTTTGATATTGCATGAAATATTTGCGAGAATTTTCTCTGATTTTATTTTTTTTCTTTTTCATGCAGTGTTGGACTCTGGAACAGATGGTGCGAGATTGTCATCTCTTATTGGTCTCATGCTTCCCCTGATATTTGTTCAACACGATTCTGACATCGGTTTTATTATTTTTACTCTTTTCCCATCGTTATCTCTGCCTTCATTCGACAACAGCGATTCTGTCTCATTGTGGCATCAAGTCAGTTGCCTCTCCCGTTACTTTTATGTGTCTTCAATCGATTCAGTTCTAGTGACAAACGCTGCAAAACACGATGAATGTACAGCAACAAAAAAATATATTGAATCGTCTATTCTCGGTTCGTCTTATCGGTTCACCCTTTATCTATTTTATTTTTTCATTTAATTTTTAACCCCGTAAATGCTGTGCAGTGGATCCTTTTACATGGAATACATCGGAAGATTCAGACACTTATTCCTGTAATTTTACGTAATTGAGTAATTAATTCTCTGTAAATTTCTTGATTTATCGCCGATTTTCTTTGTACTGAGGAATTTTAAATTACCCAGAGTTCAGATATTTTCTCAATGATTTTTCTCAGGGTAATATCGGCTTATTATCTCTTTAAAACGCGCTTTCTATGAACCCAACGTGGGAGTCACAATCAGAATTTAATAAGGAATTTATCTAATGGTTAATGAGAGATCTGAAAAGATTAAAAATTTTTTCAATAACTCGCAGCCTCCATCAGTCCGCAATAATTCCCGAATTGTTGCGATTTTTTAATTTTCAAAATTTGCTATGACGTCGTTGGACCCTGACTGTCATTCGAGATATTTCGAGATATTCTGGTCGATTTCTTTTTTAGTTTTTATATTTGGAAGACTAAGACCATCTTAGAATACATTTTTAGGGGCGATGAACGAAAAGACATAGACGAAACTAGTTTAACAACTCCATTGTTTAAACATTGACGAGAGGATGGCTTTGTAAACCCATAGACGTGTCTGTCACGTTGACTAGAGACGAAGACAAGTGGGTGATACTGGAATGCACTTCGTGGGTTCAACAGCATTCTCTATTGGATTCACTAGACAATGACTAATTTCTCAGTCACTCACCTGAAATTTGTACTGAGAAAAATTTTCCCTGAACCAGTGAAAAGTTCAAGTGTCTCACAAAAATTTTCACGGACCAGAATAATGGCCTGTAGTAATTGTAAGAATTAAATCTGCCGGAAAAATCGATGGCAACGTTCATTCAAATTCCAGACGAATTACGTAATATTGATGTTGTAATTATTTGAATAATAATGAGAGTAATGGAAATAAAAAAAATTATGTCGGTGAATCCCTGAAATTTCCTTTCCTCTGCGGCTTCTGGATAATGGAATGGGGGAGGTAGAAGGGTAAAATAAATTGAAGCGTGCAATTATGATAGAGTACTTTTAATCGACTCACCTTGCGCAAACAGCGGCAAAAATCCAAGCTAAAAAGCAGAGAAACGTCGCTCTAGCTTTTGTACAGATGTACCTGAAATCCGAAAATCAATATTTAGTAATTATTCAGTAATTATTCCTCAATCCAAATAAATAAACCATCGCAATGAGAATAATTGCCGTCTCTATTTAACTCGAATATATTTAAGACAGCCACAATTTGACGATTATCTCGCAATGAAAAGGAGATAGCGACATTTTTTATTGAACATTTTTTGTCGAGAAAGGTGAGTACTACAAAAAAGGTAATAATAAAAAAATCAGTATTTATCATAAATCCGGAGATATTCGGGAAAATTGATGTCGAGAGGATGATTTATTTTACAGTTCACCACTAGGCAATCTGGAATTAAATATTTTAGGGCTTGAATAACGATAATTTATGAATAAAACAATAAATATATTTACCCAGCCCGAAGAGGTTCACAAATGGCGTAATATCTTTCAAAACTGATGGCCAATATTGTCAAAACGGATGCGTGCGCGACAGTTAATTCCACAAAGGGTACAGCTTTGCCTGAAACATCAGTAATAACTGGATTAATACCTGAAGCGTAAATCGATAGACCGTACCCCTTCTCCCCCCCTCTAAGGATTGGTAATTAATGACTCGACAAGACGGTAAATTTAATCAGACTATTCCCCACCGGTACAAAGTGCATGAAATATTCTGTCTGAAAAATGCCCGATGGGTATATTTTTCAAGTCTTTGATTACTTCGTTAATGAGGCCTTTCAGCCAAGACTCATCAAAGAATTCAACCGATGAAGCAAATTCTGTCGAGTTATTTTATTTCCGACGAGGGTTGAAGGAGAAAATCCTGGGTAGAATAAAAAGTCTCGGTGATATACGCCTTGCTAGCATTAAATGCTCAGACACGTATAGGCTAAGAGCACCGGTAATTCTTTGCGGGGGGTTTTCCTTCAAATGCCTCGGTTTCACCCTCTTGCCATTTCTTCAAACACCCGCCATTTCTACCAGCACTTTTATTCGATACTTCCTATTTATCCCCGAATTTATCAATTTACCCTAAACCCCTAATAAATTGCCTTCACTCAAAATTTATAAAAATCAATTACATATTCCAAATAAATTTTAAACTCAATCCAGTCCGACATCTTTTTTTTCATTCATTTTTTTTTTTTTTCATAATTACGATAATAATCAATTGAATTTAATAATCGTAACAACGTAGCGATAATTTATTAGATTTAATAATCCAATAAATTTGGCTCCACGAATTAATTTGATGGAAGTAATATTTTTTTCAGTGAAGAAATCTGAAGTGGAATGACTGGAAAGTTTTCTCAAGTTTTTTTCTAAAGAATATCTTTTCCTGAATTTCTGAGAGTTTTGTATGAACTAGTCGGCATCTAGGTCTGCCATCGCAAAATTCGTGTTAAATAAATTTGAAAAGGAAACGGTAGAAAATGTGAAGACGTGGGTGAGAATTCGTGGAAAAGTATGATCCTTGCATTGAATATTGTCACAATGTCAATAGAATTGTCGACTCTTTCCCACTCTGTGCAGCGGGAATACCAAAATTTTCCGGAAAAACTATTGGAATTTAATAGTACGAGAAAGCAAACTCAATACCCCGCAACTTCACAGTGTGAATTATCACTTGAACTTTTAATTAGTCATCACGGTGAGCGGATAATTGAAATATGAACAGCTTAATTCTATCAGAAGTGGCTTACGGGTGAATGCTGCAGGGAAATTGAGGCATTTCTGCGATGGTGAACAGGGAAATTGTTAGTAAAATATGCTGGCCATGTGTTGAGGTACAAAAGGAAAATTACCCAGAAGGTGAATTTCGTCGTAATGATGGATCATGAAACTGTGCAAATCAAAATCAATTAATTAGTGTGTGAACCATATTCACTTGGTGGATAACAATCCTCGAGAAGGTGCATTCAATACCAAGTGGAATTCACCCGTATAATATTACCTCTATTGGAAATCATTCTCACTACGTACACTTGATCAAACAACAGCTGATACTCTAGCTTCAAGTGGGATTGCATGTCCTAACAGTACCGATGTCACTCATTATCAGTGCAGCAAGACTGGGGAGCATATCACAGAGAATAACCATTGGAAATTTATGAAAGAATTATCCAAAGGAAAATTTACCGCAAAGGATTTCATCACAAAGAAATTTTTCTCTGAAATATTAATCAGCTTTGAAAAATGTCCGGAGAATTAATTGATTTCTTCACTTAGAAAAAAAATTGAATTTTTTCCTTGTGAATTTCTCATTTCTAATCGCCTTCTTCATCCTCCCCTTCCTCCCCCTCCTCCCCTTCCTCCCCTTCCTCCCCCTCCTCCCCTTCGACCCCTTCCTTCCCATCCATCCCCACCACATTTTATGCAAAAATAATTGTCGGCGGTTTTTGATGCAATTCTCACATTTTATTGACGAGAATTCTTTCGACATCCGGAAGTCCAATCATTTACATCAATCATCATCAGATGTGATGGATCAGAGAATCTCCCCTCGTGATAAAAATCATTTATGCGATTTTTATCATTGCAATTGTTCGGGGTTAACTTTTCAGTAACTCTATTTATTTAGTACTTGTTTTATTAAAATAAAATTGAAAGATTGAATTGCTGGAATAGTTACTTATATAAAAAATATTTATCATTGTTTTGAATATAATATTAATATTTCTCGGTTCGCAGTGAAAACTCGACACGTGTTGTGCAACTTGGGAAACTTGAAACTTATTGAGAATATCGAGTGATTTTTATGCAATGGGATTATTGTGTTTTTATTTTCTATTATGGAATTGTCGTCACGTAGACATGGGGTGATAATTAATTTTTCGTACGCGCTTGGAACTCATTAGATTCGTGAAATATCACGGGAAAAATCATTAATTGAGCTTGCAGCGATATCCTAGAGTTGGATTCACAGCGGGCACTGAATTCTAGTTAAATTTGTTCACAGTTTGTGTTATTTGTTTGTGAATACTTTGACACGACTGCCGCATACATCATACCCCCATAATTCTGAAATTTTCCTTCTTTGCCGGATGGCATTAACAGAAAGTTCAACAGCTCGTGTTCCCTGATGCGAAAAGTTTTCTCAAGAATTTTTCTTCAATGATTGACAAAGTTACGAAACCATTGAATATCAAGAGACATGATAAACAGTGAGAGGGATAATTAGATAACTTTTTCAGCAATCAGACGAATTCACCAAATATATCAAATGTAAATGCCTCAAAGACGGCTATTTGCTCATATAGTTGTATTAATTAACTAATGATAATTAATGACAAAAAAAAATATGTATCTATAGTTTTTAAAATTCAAATCGATCAAATTCGAATCGAAATTCAAAAAGGCATTTTCCAGTGAGTTTGCCATTTTTTTTTTCAAGGTGTCATGTATATTTTTATTTAATATCATTGAATATCATTTTTTTATATTCTTCAATTTTTTACTTTCCAGGAAATTTTCTTGAAATGGACAATCACTCCGCCGGAAATTCGGTATTAGCATATAGGTGGGTATATAATGTGATAACACCCGGTTCAGAGTATTTATTATCTATTTGGGTTTGAATAAATTTTTCAACTCGTTCCACATTTGAAAAAACCTTGAACTCCCAATTCAACAATTCTGTCCTTCGACTTGGTGAACAAATTAATAAAAATTGAATTCTCACTTGATTATCCCTGGAATTTTCAAAAAACATTAAAATTCCAGAAGAGTAAATTCAATTGAAAATCCGTATTATTCAATTCCCATTTATTTATTTGTTTAATAAGGGTTCTGGGATTTCTGAGATTTACTTGACAAATTCCGAGTTTTAGATTTTTATTTCTAGAAATATTATTATTCAATCAGTTTTTCGGCGCCCGGTGTTATCTGACTTTTGTATTTTTCATTTTATCTTTTTAATTGGGTTTTTTATTCTAACATGGTGGAATCAGTGCTGCTAGTGACGTGCATTGATGATGCAATTCATGCATTGAGCATTTGCCCGGGGCCATCGGATTGGGCTGTGAAAATTTCACGTCAACTCCGAGGCATTTGAATTCTTTTCAGCGTAATCGGTCCTGAATGACCACAAAACAGCTGACACAAACCTCACCCTCACTATCACCTGATTTCACGTCAACTCAGCGAATAAGAATTTTATTTTCTGCATCTACTCTGCCATTTATCCATTTATTTCAATCCCAAATGTTTCAAAATCGAATATCCACAATTATCGATTTTTTATCACCGAATTATCTCCACAACAATCAATTTTATTAGAAAAACTCAAAAGATCATTTTCCTCGGAAATTGAATGACCCACAAAAAAGTTCTCTATTACTTCCCTGTGTAATCAATAGTTTCCGGTATAAACTAATTGATAGCAATGACAATTTCGTTTTGATTCGTCGCTGAATTCTTATCCTCACAATTTTCCGTTATGTCTGACCCGAATTATCTTGAAAACCATTGACTTTATCAGAAAAACTGAAAAGATCATGCCGATCGAAAATATCGTAAACTACAAAAAAGTTCCTTATCGTTGCCCCGTGTAACCAATGGTTTTCGGTATAAATTAATAATTGAGGGAAATGGCGGTTTTTGCTTATCGCTGAATTATCATAGAGGTCCGCAATCTTTTTGAATTTTCCGCTGAAAAAATTTGTCCTGGAAAGCCGTATCACCAGACACAACCCAATGACACGTGAAAATCGATTTTCCATGGTTTTTCTTTACTCTCAATTTGCTCGCACTTGTGCGTGTCATTCGATCACGTATGATGAGAGAAAATCTCACAAACTCCTTCCATCAGAGAAAAGTTTCGTATTACATGTAGAACATCAGGCCATTACTCACTTTTTCGTCAAAATTGTTTACATAAGTAACAAGAATAATGGATGAGAATATTTTCAATGGTTATCGGTAATTTCACGGAGAAATAGCGAGGTGAACTCCAATCCGGAATTTATACTGGGATATTCTCGAGAATTGTTGCTCTTCGAGGAGCACTCAAATCAATTGATGATAAATCGAACAATATTTACGGAGTCGCGGTTAGGAGTGAATTTATCAAAAGACCAAAAAACATTCGAGAAAATTACTCCGTGCGATAATGGAAATTGGCTGGGGGCCAAAGAAAATTTTACCACTTGGACCACTTGGTTTTTACCCTATTCGCCGCACTTTGCGGTGTCAACAGACAAAAATATAAATATATTCCCTGGCTTTTGCAGATCGTAAATTATTCTCTCCACGAAATTATCCGTCAAATTTATTTTTCGTCAATAGCAACTCAGCGATTGCGTTCAAATTTCGTAATCACTTTATTTGGTAATTCAATTTATTTTTCAAATATCCAAAATCAATTTCGATTAAATAATTTCCTCTAATTACCATCGAGTCTGTTCAATCCGCATTTAATTATACGATAAAAATGAATATTTTTTCTTTAATCAAATGAGAAAATTAATTAAAGATTTTCATTCGATTTGAACGAAAAATTTTCTAGTCATCAGGAAAAATCAGGAAAGTGCAATAAATCGGGAACTGTTGTTTAAGACAGGGTACGGCGGATAAAAAAAATTTTAAGCAACAGCTGGAGGAATTAAAAGTGGGAACAGTTGACCAGTGGAGTACTCTCATTTAGTTCAGACAATAATGAGTTTTTTAGCCCCGGCAGAAGGTCCATCGGAATTCACGGAAATTGTTCCATTGATTCGTTAAACTCACTTGTCGTTTGAATCGCTCTACTTTAGATTGCGTCAATATAATGAAACCAACAATTTACGATTATGGGAGTAATTTTTACGATGGAGGGGAAATTTTTGCGATATTTCCTGAATGCAGCACGGCAACTTGAAGCCACACAGTTTAATTAAAGATGTTTGTTATATATAGCCACTGGTATTTTTATCTCTCTCGTTTAAAGTTGCTCTCCTTTTTCCACTAGTCCACAATCTGGTGGCAAGTGAATTCACCACGACCTGATATTAGGGTCTCGTTAAATATTCCCGACGAGTTTTCCTCTAATTTCCATTTTTATTCGCTGACCAGACGACGGATTACAAAAAAAAATCACAAAAAATGGTGATGAGAAAACAATTCGGAAAAATTCATGGAATCCAGAGGTCAATTCTTTTTTTTTCATCCATTCAACAAAACGATCTTAATTTACCAAAATCTTAATTAAATTACGAGGACTATTCGAATCAATTAGAGCTGTCGATAATTTTTTTGTAATCACTAAAATATTGATGTCTGGGTAATCGCGAGGATCAATTTTTATGTACGTGAATTGGGGAAAAATTGTGGAATAAAATAGAAAAATTGGAATTCAATTTTCTTTTCTTTTTTTTTCTTTTTCTTTCATCAATTCAACAAACCGATCTTAATTTACCAAAATCTTAATTAAATTACGAGGACTATTCGAATCAATTAGAGCTGTTGATAATTTTTTTTAATCCCTAAAATATTGATGTCTGGGTAATTGAGAGGATCAATTTTTATGTACGTAAATTGGGGAAAAATTGTGGAATAAAAAAGAAAAATTGGAATTTAATTTTTCAAAGTGGCAATTTGCGTAATTTTAATGGGATTTTCATGGGAATTTTTATGAACGTCTTGAGAGTGTCGTAAACATTTGCGGAATATGTCGGCTTGTTTTATTGTCTCGGGTAAAATCCCGACAATTCGCGATAATTCGGTGACAAATAAAAGTTGACGAGTGTCAATGAATTTTCCTGTCGAAAGCCCGTGAGAGGGAAAAGTGATACCGTCATTTTGGAACAAAAGGAAAATTCCGTAACAAAGGGATATGTTATGTACAGTACATAATGGAACTCCGGTAAATTGTCTATGGCTCATAAAATCCAGACGTCTGTACCATTTGCCCTCAGGCACTTGAGCCCTCAACTTCCATGACAATAACGATAACTAAATACACCTGAATGCTACATTACATCAGTATGTATCAAAGTATATAACATACCCCAAAAAATCCTTGGATAAAAAATTACGCGGAAATTTGTCCAACAATTCGCAGCCTCCACAAGTTTCCGCAATGATTTCCAATATTTCGCGGTTTTTGGAATTTCGCGACATTTTTTGAACCTTCAAAATTTTTAGATATTCGAGATATATTCCAGATAAATCAGATAATAAGTTTAAAGGTTTCTCGTTCTGTGTAACTACAAGGGAATTAATTGTAATTCGAATAACATAAAGTTTCGGAAAAAATTGCAATTCCAAATTATTCATGTTTTATCGAGTTTTTCCGTTTTTTTTTCCGCGCAGTGATAATCCCCGAATTTTCCCGCGCTGCACGGAAATGTTCTCTCGTATCGTTTTTCCGACAACGAAATGAATAGCGGATAAAAATTGGTTTTTATTCTGGAATCGGTGGGATATTCTGTGATCTCATGAAAAATGGAATTACACTCGGCCGATAAATTCTCCAGAGGAATTTCCGAACGAAAATTTGAAATTTCCCCGTAAACGTAATTACCCTCCCACTCAGTGAGAAAAATTCAATGAAAATTACCCCGCAAAAAAAAAAGCCTCCTGCCCTGGAAAACGGAATTGCGCGTATGATCGCGTAATTTTTACTGGATATTTCTCTCGACGTGCCATTTACTTGGGATAACCACTAGATCAATAACGATTGATTGATGGCAAATATCGCGGAATGTCCCACTTATTCCCGCCAGTTGTTTTCTCATTCTATTTGATTTCCATTTGACTAATTGAATAAAGTAATGAAGAGTCTTGAATCGAGTGACTAGCGGATTAAAATTTTCTGATTGACAGAAAATTTAATTCTAAAAAAAAAAAAAATATTATTTCCTCTCCCAAAAATTGGAGGTCAATCCCAAGAGCCGACGAAAAACTCCCCCTTCCCCCCCGCCACCCTCTCTCTGTTTTATTTAATTAGAATTTGAGGTAGAAATCCAATAAAATTTATTTAGTTAATATTTTTCTGCTTCTCACGTGAATTTTTATGAATGAATGAAAAACAAATTATGAAATTCAGGATGAAAATTTCATATCGTCTCAGTGGTTTTGGAGCTGTGCCACTCTAAAGAGCATTTTCTCGTGTACCGAAATACCAAAATACATGGCAATATTGGATTGATGGAGTCATGTGGTACCACATGTAATGATTATAAAATGAAAATGGAACAGTGACTTCCGGAATATTTCCTTTCGTGTAATGAATCTTCAATTGAAATTGAAATATAAAAATTATAGAAATTATTTAGAACAAGAATATGAATTTTCTTTTATAATATAATAAAATAATTATTCTTAGCGAAAGGTTTTTATGGAAAATCCAAATTTCCGTGGATGTATGAGGAAAAAGTGATTTTTCAAGGAAAAATTGAAATTAATTTCAATTACATTGGATAATTAGACGTGAATAAAATTACTAGATCTTATCGAGTGCAAACGGATCGTAAAATGATCGATATTTCATGGAATGATCAGAGGATCAGTGACGGTTGGCTCAGTTCCAAAAATTGAGTCAAAGCTGAAAATTTTCGCACAAATGTCCAAATGTTCGTGAAATATTTATCAACATCCGCCGCAGGCCTCGGTTTTTATTCCATTTTTCACTCGTGATTATTATGTAACGAGAGGGGGCGTCTCGATACCTCTTTGTGCAAAAGGTTCGATAAATTGTTGTATCCGAGGGAAATAGTCTGGGATAAATTGAAAAGGGCGTTCCACTCAATCAACTATCAGATAAAAGAAAGTGAAGTTGAGAATTCACATCTAAGACTTCCATCCATTTCCAGAGGAAAGAGTGAATTTACTCACTCGATCCCGTAACCATCCAGTGATTTTACATAATGTATTGTGAATTTATTTGAGTCACAATGGATTCCTCTGATTTTCGCAGGGAGAAAAAAAATCGTATTATTCGCTGTATCTCGAGAACTATCGACTTTCAGGAGAAATTCCAAAGGACTTTTTTAGAGGCAGTAAAATTTCGGAGAGAAAAGGTGTTTTCACATTTTATTGTTAAGTCGATAGTTTCTTGTATTAATCGATATTTATTGAGATCTTATAGTTATAGAAAAATGGAATGATAATTGAAATTCCATCGACGGAATTGTCATTGAATTCAATTTCCCTCGGAACTTTTTGTTTCCCGGGAACGATGAATTTTCTCCTTTATTTCAATCTGTTGATTCCCCTCGGTTTCAATCTGTTGATTTGAATTTAATTGGAAAATTTCAAGATGAAGTCGTTGAATGGCGGATACTCCAATTAATCGAAACTCCGGTTGGACAAATGTGAAAGGTGAAATGTAGTCTGGTCATTATTTTGTCATTCAACCCGAAGATTAGATATGGCTGTTGATTTTGATATTTAATAATTTTTGGGCAATTGTTGCTTCGCAATGGCAAAAAAAAAATTCAACTTTCTAGGAAAATAGAAAATAAATCCGACTCTAGGTCAATTCGTATGACGACGCGTAAAGCAAGCGAATCAACACAATTAACCTCGAGGGTCAAGTCGGGAGTCTCTCATGTCCCTCGAGACCATCTGTAAATTCTAATCACGCGATTTTATCAATAAACAAACGTCAATTGTTAACTTGGGAAATTACCGCAAAGCCGCATCGGCAATGGGGGAGTTTTCGCGAAATATCTACGGCCCTTACAGAGATAGCGGATTTTTTGTAATGACCTTTTTTCTAGGTCTTTATTATAGCGACAAAAAAGGTAATTACAAAAATTGCGATATCAGCTGTTGATTACGAGGAATTTGGCGAAAACTGAATAATTTGATAGATCGAGTTTTTAATGTGGACTTGCGTGGATTACGGAGATGTTTTGTGATTTATTTTAGTGAATTCTGGTGAATTCCAAAGAAGGGTACTTACACATGTGTTCACCGAGCGGCCAGACTTGAGGACCTGAATTTATCTCGACAAGAACAGTTGGAGCGCAAACCAGAAGAACGCAAAGATCAGCAACACTCAGGTTCACGAGAAAAATGTTTGTGCTATTTCTCAAGTCCTTTCCACGAAGAACAACCAGTGGCACCTTTAAAAAATAATAATAACAACAATAATATTACTAAAAATATTCATTACTATTCCAATAACAATAATTTTTTATTGAAATTCTCCGCAAAGTCGTCCAAACTAAAATACCAAAATCACATGAGCGTAACTCAATTTTCTTTATAATTTATTTCGAAATCTATCGATTTTAGGCGAAAACCTTCGATAACTTTTTTATAGCTGATTAAATTATCTATAAAAAATATTCCAAGATATTTCATGATAAAATCGCAAGTTTTAGAGATAAATCGATGTTTCGGAGGACTGGAATTCGACTTGACCATTTCGCCACGGATTTTAGTGTTTCTTTCGGGGGAACAAACAAGTTTATTTTATTGTTTATGCAAATATCGGGTTACGACGAGGAGAAACTCACCATGAGATTGCCAATGATACCCAGAACCATGACAACAATTACTATCACCATAGAAGTCATACGGATGTACGGTGGAAGCATGTACGCAATTCCAGTCTCATTCACTGGGTCAGTCACTGAAACTTGAGCATTCAAATTGTTTCAATTATTTTTTGTTCAATCGAATATTTCCAGGGGTGAGTAAATATTGTTTTTCATTTCAGTGGTGAAATGAATGAGAAGGACGAGGCAATTCCGTGCAATCGCAATATCGAAATCCTCTCTTGTTCGAAGATATCGATAAAAGACTCATTTCGATTTTATTTTTTCATTGTCAATAAATCTTTTATCTCCCAAAAAAACCAAAACCACAAGTTCAAAGTAATTACCGTAATTGGATGAATTATTACGAATTTTTAGACTTTTATTAATTTATCGCATTCGACTGCGAAGTTGTAAAGTGATATAAATCGATTTATCTTGAGATTCATTCATTTTCGGAGAAAATGTTAAAAGACTTTTTTGTAGAAAATTATATTTTTCATGAAAAATGTCTTTTGGTATTTTTTGGTAAAGCCACTAGTTTTCGAGATAAGTGATATTTAGGAAGTTACCAAATTGTAATTAGGTAATTTTACTACTTGTTTGCAATTAAATTATTCTCATTAATTCTGGATAATAATTATTACCTGAAAATCCATCTAAGGTACTGCTTCCATCGATAATAGTAGTGTAATACGACGAATTGAGTTCAAAAGTTGATGACATAGTTGTTAAAATTACAATTGTTTTCCCTCACAATCCAGTAATTCAGCCTTTGGAATTTTTATAACAATTTCAACTGCCATTATTCCCAAGAACTTCGATAACTACGCTAAATAAAAAAGATTTTTCAACGGAATCCCAGACAAACGTGAAGTATTGAGTTCTTGAAATCATGGTTTCCTCTAATTCCCATGTTCTTCTCAAAAGTTTGTCGCTCTCTCAGATTCTCTGAAAAGAGGAAAATAAATTCTCACTGAGAAAAATTTAGTTCTGCCAATTAAATTTATTAAAGCAACCGCAATTGTTCCGGATAAGAATTCACATGGGGATTTATTTTATTTTACGACGGGGCCCCGAGTGAAAATAAAAAAAAAAGTGCAATTAACGGAATGGATAATTGAAATTACCCTCAGGATATCACATCAGGAGCGTTAAGTGACATTATAAATGATCAGTTGTAATTCAATCCCCTATCAGATATCGTAAGCCGATCGATTGTTTCCGAAAAAATCCCTTTGAAAGGAAAAACGGATCAATCAACCAAAAGATCATAAATCAGAAAAACCACAATAAATCAAATAAATAATCACCAAAATTGACTCCAAAATTCCTCTCACAATTGCGTCTTACATTTCCAATTAGCGCGGATTAATCTCTCACATTGATGTTAATTGACCGTAATAATTGACGTTAATTATCTCAAATATCTAATTAGCTGATGATATCGATAATTATCCTGTTACTCATCTTTTACACCTGCGATTTTATTTTTTATTTTCGAGTCGACTGAATCTCGAAACAGATAAAACGTTATCGCTGTCATTTTTTGAGTGATAAATCCCATCTTCCGGTCTAGAAAATTCCGGAAATTCCGTTAAACTCCACTCACCTTTACTGGCACTATTATAAATCACTTTTTTAACGACTCGGTAACCTTTTTACCCTTCTGGGATAATGACTGCACTTGAGGTAATTGAGGGAAAACTCTCGGTGAATGAACATTTTTTCACGAAATCCCGACACTCACACGGAATATTCACTTTTCCTACAATCCGCAACTCGCATTTTTATGAATTAAAAATAATATATATAATACTTCGATTAATTTTTTAAATTAATTTTTGAAGAGAAAGAAAAACCTCGAAATGACGAGAAATGAAATTTTTTAAATCGATTGAGAGCCACTGGAAATTTACCGATTGTCGAAAATATGTCGGGTATTTTTTATTGCTCAATTGTTTAGGGTTTTTTTGGGGGAAATTTATCGGGTAAATTCAACCTGCACGCACAAATTGTGACGGTGTACTGAATGTTGTACCGAGATCTTTCGCGCCTCGTATGAATCTCGGTTTTGCGCGCAAGCGCTTGAAAATCTCCACCTGTTTGAAGAGAATTTCCCGGAATTACCAGAATTTTGTAATTACGAGGCCGATAGCCAATCAATATGACACAACTCAAAATACTCCCCCAAAAAATCAAAAAATATTTATAAAAAAATTCTGCAAAATATATCGATTTTTTAACGAACAAAAAAATAATCCCCAACTCGATCCAAGAAATTACAACAATCAATAACATTTATAAATATTTTTATAATACAATATTTCTATTTGTAATATTAAAAAAAAAAACGACATAATGTCACGATATCTCGATTTACAACAATTCTCTCGTTAATATTTCCTCAAGAAATATATTTACATTATAATATTTCGACTTGTGTTATTATTATTATTATTTATTTATTATTATTGAATTTTATTTCGACTTGTAATATTTTTTTGGAATATTTCGAAGGGAAATGTTACTATTGAATAAAATTTAGAGCAGCCACCTCGAGGGCAATTGCAATTACTCCGTAATTACGCACTCGCGGATAAACAGAGGGACAAAACAAATTTTGAGATTTGCTACGTTCACTCTACCGTGCGCAATTTATTTCCCAGATAAAATGTCACCCTCAGAAAATTGCGCTCGCAATTTCACGTGCAATTGTATAATTAATTAATGACTTATTGTTATTTATATAATTCTATCGGATTATTCAGCATTCTGAATTCTCAAGTTATCGGATATTCAATCCAATTAAATATCCAATTTAAAAATACAATATGATAATGCACATGATTATATATATATATGTATATCTGGGATTAACAGCAATAACAATGCGCCCTTATAAAACTTTCATGAATTTCCCCATTCAAATATTATTCACAATAAAAAAAAAATTGAATTCACAATTATTAACTTTTTCTCAAGCGGTTCATACAAAATTCATTGGAATCGATCTGTTCCGCCGTGGGAAATTCAAACAATCGGCCCTTTTATTAGAAAAGTAATTGCCGGTTAAAGACAAACACGGTAATTGCAATTTCCGTTGAATATGAAAAAAGTTCTTGAGAGCACTGAAGATCGATTTTGTCAATAAATATTTTCAAATACTAAAATTTGATAATTATATAATTCGATAAATATAAATAAATTATTTCTTCAGGATTTATTCCTAGGAAATAGTTGAAAAATAGGACTCATCCAAAATTCTATAAAGATAATCAATGATTCTTCATTGGGTGGTGAAAGTCTGATGTATGCACATTAAGATTGACAATTCAAACTGAACAATGTCTCGAATTTCATGTGTGTCGAATGTTCACTGAAATTTCTTAGCACGTCCGTTCGGCCTATCAATATTCTTCATGATAACGGAACATTTCAATCGGTCGATAACAATCATTAATGAATAAATTAACACCGATAATGAAACCTCCAAAAATTCCGGGCAAAATCCAAATCTGAAAATAAAATCCATAACAGTTCCTTGTTCCGGAAGTTTTTCCTCGATTTTTTTTTTCAATAATTTCCGTTCGTTATTATTATTATTGAAGGGACCCCCATTGATCCTCGACCCCAGGACAGCGTGTGTTTTATGTGTACGACATCTGCGTAGGCCGAATAATTTATGAAGATTTTTTCTTCACGACGAAAGAGAAATAAAAGCCGAGGGGTTATTCCCTGGTGAAATCGCGGGACCAAAAATCGATGAAATTATTTCAGAAATCGTGAAATCGAATTTAATCCCATGAACTTCCGGGGAATCCCATAAAATCATATATGAAACCATTGAAATAATTCAAAATCATTTCAAATCGAATTAAATCATATAAAATCATCGATTTCGAATTTATCGATTTCGTGCGATTGCCCATAAAATCACGGAAAACCATGTAAAATGAAATTAAATAATCCAAAATCCTGTGAAATCATCGGATCCACCGATTTCGATCATTTAATTATTTTATTGAAATCGCGGAATTTTTTTTTTATTAATCACTTTATTTTATTGAAATTGAAATTGAAATTATTTTATTGAAATCGCGGGTTTTTTTTTTATTAATCACTTTATAAAAAAATTGAAAAAATGTGTGAGTGCGATGTGTAATCGATCCTGAAAGTAAATCGTGTAATCGACATGTCATCGATGACCGGATAAAAACGACGAGGAAATAATAACCGATAGTTCTGGAAATAATGAGAACTCCAACGAGAATGAGAAAATCACCGGGTTTAATTAACGGTAATGAGTCCATTGCAGTTACACGAACCATCGGACTGACAGGACAATGATAAATCGTAAATGATCGCGGAGATGTGGAGAGAATTCGAAGAAATTCAATTTACGATCGGTGGATTACAAGGGAATGAGTGTATCGAGTGTATTGCATGCGTTACGCATGTTCGATCGATTTCGATTGCCATTGATTACTGTTTATCGAGAGTTCCCATCGATTTCGGGGATATCTCCACCACTCGCTAAATTATTCAGAGTAAATTATGCGGGAGAATATTTTTTTTCCCCGATTTAATCCAGAGATTTTCCGAAATAATTTTCCGCCGATCTGAAACGATTTGTTCGATTTACATTGATTACAAATTTTAATGAGTAATTGATTAGAATAAATAATTTAAGTTGACGGACAGGTGAATAGATAATTATGTAAATTAATTTTTTTATCACTCATCTGGATTCAGGGAAATTTTGAAAGAATCTGGGAAGAGTGCGACAGCTGTTGGGTACTTCAGGTATTTACCATCGGTACTGGAAGTACCTGTTTTTCTCCAAACGGCAAGATTTTTCCAACAGACGGTCAGCCCCGCAGTCCACTCTCTTTAACCATCACAAAGTATTTAAACTTCCTCTAAACAACTGTAAATTAATATAATTAACAAAAAAAAAATCGCTCTAATTATGCCCCACGACGAATTCCGATTAAAATTACACCTGTAATTACTCCCAGTAATTTTCAACCTGAAACACTGAATTTATTACTAATCATTAATTATCAATAATTATTATACAATAAAAAAAATAGTGCGAAATTGTGAATGATTAATATTAACAATCGCGGATAAAAAAATGGAAATAATTATTTGGACAATGGAATATTCTGAACGATTCGCAAATTTGAAAAATGCGCCGAAAATTTCGTAATGACATTTAATAATAATAGGTGTCATTCCCCGCTGACTTACGCCCATTTAAATACCCGGATTCAGGTATGAGTATGACTCGGGGCCCTAGGGTTTGGGGTAAAAAAATTTCACACCTGCGACAGACGCGCGATTCCGAAAACGTGAAATCACTAGAAATTGCGCTTTACAATTACGGTCTGCAGTAATTAGCAATTACCCGACATCCGAGTGAATACGAGAAAAAAAAAACTCGATGGAGTGTCACAGTGATGTTTTAATTATCTATTTACTATCGGCACTGACTGTCCAGCTGATTGCGGTAGACGCAGACAACTCAGACCGCAAAACCGGTGTTTACACGAGTCATCGGGGACACGAGCCGACGATGGAGAGGTGGCTGTCAGCCGATGAAAAAACCGCCCTGGAGCACAGTATTCTGCGACTCCTGGGGCTCCCAGAGCGGCCAATAACCGAAAAAAAACCGATCATGAAGAGATCGGCACCGAAATTTCTACTGGACGTCTACACCACAGAAGTCAGTTCACCGAGATACCTGGATGACGTGATCGGTAAGCAGATCAGTGGTGAATTTAAACTCGACGAGGGAAATTTATACGCGATTAATCAGAGTGACGTAATTATAAGTTTTATGGCACAACAGCCGCACAAAGGACTCGGGGGTAAACCAGATAGAGTCAAGAGGATGTGGTTCGACGTATCAGCTGTTCCCGTTGATGACGACATAATGATGTCCGCGGAACTGCGATTGTACCGGGGTATGGGCATCAAGAGAAGGTACCAAGGGAATTTTACCGTCACCGTCTACCGAGTTTTGCGGGACCCCGAGGGATTCCGAGATCTCCATCTCGTTGATTCCATCAACATCAGCTCAGAGTTCACAGGGTGGATCACCCTGAATGTCACGGAGTCCCTCCACATCTGGAATAAATACCCGGAGGAAAATCGGGGGATGTTTATCTCGGTTTTGCCGATCGGTGGGAATAACTCGGAGAGGGTGAAACCTGAGAATATGGGGATCGTCGGGTTTAAAGGCGATCTGGAGAAGCAGCCGTTCATGGTGGGATTCTACAAGAACTCTGGGAATCGGAGTATTCAGCTCAGGATCAATGAAATCGTTATGAGACCCAAGAGGAATGCACTCGATCGGAGTCTCCAGGTCATGCAGAATCACTTTGTCCATGGCTTTGATGTCACGGGATTTGGAGAATCGTGTGGACTTCGGACTCTTTATGTTAATTTCAGGGATATCCAGTGGGAGGACTGGATCATCGCACCATCGGGATTTGATGCATTCTTTTGCAGTGGCAACTGCAATTTTCCGTTGCAGACTAGAATGAATGCCACGAATCATGCAATTATTCAGACTCTGATGCATCTCAAGCAACCGGATGAGGTGCCTCCTGCATGCTGCGCTCCCATCAGGTACTCAGGGCTATCTGTTTTGTATTTTCAGGATGAGAATAATGTCGTATTGAAGAAATATCAAAATATCGTCGTCGAGAGCTGCGGGTGCATCTAATTTATCAACGAAAATTCCCAATTGAAATTTTCCCCAGTCAATTTCAAGTCAGAGAATTTCAATAATTTTTTTTCCTCAGTGCAATGAAAATTCATTCTGTCATCCTGGTTTTTTATTGGAGGAATGCTAATTTTTTATTGTCATTTTAAAAGTAATTGAAGGAATCGGTGAATTTTTTTTTTTCAATTTTTTTTGACAATTTCATACATTTTTTCAAGGATATTCAGAAAATTCCACAATTTTTTAAAATAATCTCATGAGAGATTGGTAATGTGATTATGTTATGTAAAGAGATTTAATTTTGTGATTTAATTTATGTGTGGAATGAGACTGACGTCCAGGTATGGCTGATGGATGTGAAACTTATGGGAAGTTAATCACTTGATTGTTAAAAGGAATTAATTTATGGATTTATGTGTTAGAATTTTTATAAGACGATTATTCCTTGGAGATGTATCAATTTTAATTAGAGATAATCAGGGAAAATTAATGCCGGACGCTTTAGTTGACAAGTCCCTGAAAAAAAGACTCAGAAAGTCAAATTTTTATTTTTTTATTATTTATAAATATTTTTACCACTGACACCCATTTTTAATTTTTCAAATCATTTTTTTCTATAAACAATAATTAATTACTCAACATAATTAATGTAATCAATATAAATAATTAATCAGTTATTGGTATTCTTAGATAATTAGGAAGTGATTGAATAAAAATTAATACTCATATGGATTAATTGATAATTCATTGTTATTTGTGATAATTACGAGAAATTAAAGATCTTGAGTTGCTTCAGGGATTGAAAAAAATCTACTCGCTGTTTCGTTATCGATATGTCAATATCGAATTTCGTCATCGATTATGTCACAGAAACAATTTCAGAATCGACCTAGGGTAATGGGAGTTCCCTGGAGCAAATGTCCATTGACAAATTAATAAATTGCCTGTCACCGACTGATTGACGTGCCGTTTTAATTTTCATTTATTATTTAACATTTTCGAGTATTTTTTTGTCACACCACATGATTAATGGAGCTGTCAATGAACTGAATTAATATTGCAATTGGCCTATGATAAATAAATTTTATATTCTAATTTTATATTTTTTTTTATGGAAGAATAATTTATTTCGTGATTAATTTATTTAGGGTAATCAATTGTCATTATTTTTTCATTCATGTGGGAATATGGGAGATAATGCAATTAACGAAATTTGTATTGCACAACTGAAGAAGAAATATAAGCCCTGGTGTAATGAGACTTTCTCGAGTAAAGAGGATTGCTGCATTACGTCAATCAGATCAGGGGTGAATCAATGTCAAGGGTAGTTATCAAAATGAAGGCAAAATTCATAAAGATATTTTAATGCCTTCCACATTTATTTATCGTGAAATGTTCGATATAACAACTGGTTGACATTTAATAATTGCTCAATTAAGCAACACCTGGGGTAATTAAATGCATAAATATTACTGAATCACAAAAAAATATGAAAAAAAAAATGTGAATACAAAATGAAAAAGCCAGAAAAATCACTGATTTTTCAGAATTGATTGGTCGTAATGACCGAATGCACTGAGGGGGAATAAATTCAAGAAACTCATTACAACTCACATAAATTATCGTACTTAGTGATTACAGTGAGAAATAAATCGTCGATGGATTGAATTTTCATTATTCAAATAAATATGAATCGTACTGCTTATTTCCTCTCGGCTTTATGATTAAAGTCGTTAAAATTCGTGAATTAAAGAGTAGATTCGAGATTTTTAATTGGCTAATTAAAAATAATCTGATATTATAATTCACTTACCGCCATTTTCTGGATGAAAAAACTTGGAGTAGAGTTAAAACCTTAGAAAGACATTACGTTAACGAGGCTTCCCTATAAAATATCCACCCTCAAATGCAATCGTCCGCAGTGCTGGTTCCACTCTGGTCAACTTTATGTATCAATAATAAAATTAATTAACGATTTAATTAGGTGATTGAAGACTGAATGGCAGATTGTCAGTAATTGTCCGGTGATTTTTACGAGATATTTGTTACATTTTATTAATATAATGAATAAAATATGTGCTTGGCTATTGGTGCTCGGAATATTGGGTGCTTGTACTTGTGGAGGTCGTACTGAGTGCGGACAACAAGGAAAAATTACACTTTTAACAAATATTCATGATGATCTCAATTGTGAGAAATTATCTGATAGAGGCGTTATGACCTATGAAGCTGCCAAATATATCGTCGATATGCACAATAATAATACGAGTAAAACAAAAATCGGTGTGTCTTTATTCATCATTAATAAATTACATTTATAATTAATTAGTCATTAGGAATTACTGATTTTGTTAAGGGCATTGCGTCTACTTGCGTCCGTTTTCGGTGAATACCTGGGGAATCGAGAGATGTAGACGAATTTTGATGGGAATATTTTTTCTTCAGCGATTTGTGAAGGACAAAAAAGATCTTTATAAAAATTTCGCTAGAGTGTCTTTTTTAGGAGATATTCACCGATTATTGGGGTTGAGGGTAGTAAATTTATCAAATCGTTGGAGATCTTGGATTTCCATTGGGTATTGAGGGATTAATTAATGGAATATTCATTTATTTTTAGATATAACGATTTTAGATACTTGCGGAAGTGTTTCTGGTGCGGTAAAAGCGACGATGAAGGCTTTGGTCTGGTCTGACATGGATTGTTTAAGGCCTCCATTTTATTTTGGTGAGAAGAATTCATTCTCGTGGATTAATTATCAGAAATTAAAACATTCTATTCAATTACGAGGGAATAAATATTAATAACGGCTGCAATAAGAGATAAAACTGATAGATAATATTTTTTATCTTGAATTAGGTAATTGTTACAATTGAATAAATAAATAAATTATTATAATTTATCATCAGGAATGATTGGCCCCTACACTCCGCTGAATGTCGATGCAGTTCATAAGATAACATCGACATTAAATATCCCCCACATAGTGAATGCTAATATTATTTCACCGTATCTCCACAATCTGAACAGAGAGTCTTATGATCCAATGATTTATGCCATCCTGGGGATGATCGATACCCTGAAATGGAAGACATTTAGTTTGATCACAAGTACTTACGGAAATCATGAGGATGATGTCCAGCACATCGCCAAGAAGATCACCATGGGTGCAATCACCAGAGGAATATGCGTAATGATTCATGACGGGGATGATCAAGGTAGCGACATAAATAATTTTTTCATGATGATTGATTGATGATTTTCTATGTGACATTTGAATAATTTAGTGAGAAATTTATTGACTCTTTTTTCATGAGACTTTGGCACTCACGTACTTCACATTGGGAGACCCAACGAAAGAATTCTGTCGATTAAAAATTCAACAATTTTAATCGCAAGTGAAGGCAATATGAAAATTCATGTCAGTAATTACAACACTCTCAGTCATATTTTCCTCCTGCAAGACTCCAGGTAAGATTTACTAATTTTATCACCAAAAAATCGTTCGATATCTCCGAGTTCGAGTTCGAGTTTGCACATTTTTTATTTAATAAAATCAACAGTCGAATGGATTTATTGCTGGAGTGTAAAAACAAGTTAATTGGAGTTACATGACTTGAGTACTAAATTACCTTCTTTATAATCTCTCGAGTACTGTAATGTCTGCGGTATATTGTAATGATTCTCGATGATTTTTTTTATCCAAAATTAATATTACAACAGTTTCTTGTTCCTCAAGGCTGAGCATAAACAGGATTTAGTATCAATGGGAGGAGCTTTTCGGAATTGCGTCTCACCTCCTTCGCCTTTTCCTAAGGAAAAACAGAAATAAAAATCGATCTGCATTAATCGTAAATATTCCAGACACACGAGTGAATTTAATTGCCGAAGTTATATTTTGGTTTATCTCTTATTGACTTATTGCATTTCATTTCGAAACTCTGGCACTGGTTCGCACACATGATTAGAGATAATTTCCGTTGAAACATGAAGTATGAATTAAAGTGTTCTGTACTGTAATTGAATGCAATTATAACGATCGACGACGTTGGGTGCCTTTTAATTTAAAAAAAATTACTGGTGACGGGTGTTTCTGTTGCAGAAACGAGTTGGATGGATTGGAAAACAGAATCAAGAGCTCCAAATGGTGGACGGGTCCGGAAATTGGAGAATACGATGCTGAAGAAATTAGAGACGTCAGGTGGTTGGAAGATGCTGTCGGAATTTACGTGAAAGCCTTTGAAGTCTTATGGTGAGTTTTGTAATCCCACCTTTCGCTCTCATTTCCAACAAGTATAAATAATATTGTGAATAATATTCTGAATCGTTCATGAAGTTTTACCAAATAATTTTCACTTTTATCGGATTTATTACATTTTTTACTGCGAATTCTCTGTTTTTTGAATATTTTTTTATAAAGTGCCAAGCAACAGTGCTCGGACCTAGTGAATTCCGCAGAGTGGAACAGCATTTTGTCGAATGTTGTTGCAACTCACAACGCGAAACTCCAAACATCCACGAGAAAATTCGACTTCCTATTCAAAACGCAATCCAATTTCGAAAAATTGGCGGATATAGAGGTGCAGAGTGGCCAGGCGAAAGTCCACTGGAGTCCGAGTCGTTACGGTAATTATACAATTGATTAATCGAGAGTAAAATTTTACCGTGGGAATTATTTCAGAGATATTCAGTAATGTTCTCGTGAGCAGCGACCAGAGGAAATCCGGATGTGCGACGTCGGTCTCTGGAATGAGCGAAGACGAGAGCGATATTGCAAAAGCTCTTTTCCCAGGAGTTGATGATCACGAATGGTGGACAATGGTAGAATCAATCAATTAATCAATTAACAATTATTACAAGTCTTACTGAATAATTCGTATAGATAAATTCTATTGACATTTCGGGACTTTGTCGTTTCAGAATTTATTAGAATCGAGATGATTATTTTCAGATCGCGACTGTTGGAGGAGTTGGAGTCTCAATGTTTGCTGTGGGAATTTTTGCAGTTTACGTTGTGATAAGTAATATTCGGGGCCCGCGGTCCCCGAAAAATAAATCAAACAGACGCGAAAGGGACGGGACTATCAGAAGAATAGAGAGTGATCAGGACCTCCAGGTTGTAACGAGACCTCATCGACCTGCCAGGGAAAATCAGAGACGTGACAGCAATCGCAGCATCAGGAGCAACATCTCTGATAAGAGCGTCTGAAGTCTGAATTAATTCAATTTCAATTTCAATTCAATTATTTCAATTTCGTAATTCATTACAATAAAATTTCTTTTGTAAATTCGTGTTGCTACCAATTATTGGTACACGATTCATGGGGATCCCGTAGAGAGGACATTGATGGAATTTCTACAATTATTATGTACTGATACAACTTCATTAATTATATTCGATCATTGAAATTCGTTTATCCTCCATGTAATTGTTGAAATATGAAGCCGATAAATATGTAATAAATTATACGTCATTGGAATATAAAATGGATTTTGTAAAACACTTGTCCAAGGATCTGTAATAAAAAAATCTATAAAATGAATAATTTGTCTTCGTTATTTGCATGACCCAAATAAATATAAGAAAGGGAAAGAAAAAATGGAAATTATTAAAAATATTCCAGGCATTTTTTCTGGGAAATTCGTCTGGAAATAATAACATGATTTTACTTGCGAAATTCGCAATATCATACTGGATCACTTAAATTTGTTTATCCCACATAATTATTGAAGTACGAAGTTAGTAATTCAATATAATAAATTACACTTCGTTTATCGAGATTTAGCGCAATAAATCACTCGACTCATTGAATGCATTTTAATGACAGCTCTATACTTCAACGACAAATACATTTTTGGGTCGGTGAATGGCGCGAATGACGTGTAATCAACACAGGCACTGGTTCGTCGTTCTCTCCAATTAATTTTTTGTCTATTTCTTTTTTCAATGGGCATAAAAAAATGAGAAGTTATAAATCCCGGTGGAGAGTTATTGTTAAATTATGCGAGCATCACAAACGATTAAACTCACTTGGAGTTTCTGGAATTTGTGAGAATTAATCGATGAACATCCGGTAAGGGGATGAGGAAGGAAAATATTGTACAAAATTTTAGCGCGGATATGACGGATTGGAGAATTGGCTATTGTTCTCGTCAATTGACCCAATCACACCGTTAATCAGCCATTATGCAAGCAAAATAATATCAATTTAGTAATCGACATTTATGAGAGGTAATAATAGAGTCTTGCGATATGTATAAAATATTCTTCTGCCGAACGATTCGGGAGACCTGTAGGAAATTATTTGATTCAATAAAAAAAAATCATTTTAATCAATTTTTTTAATCATTTTTCAGTGGTTATTTGATTATTCATGAATTCGGTGCAATTATTTTTAAAGACTCTCATTGTTTTTGGGGTTTATAGTCAGTTTTATGGAGCGGTGAAATACCGAAAGGGGAATCACGTCAACGTGTCTCAAGTGTAACGGGAACCGGTTGTCAGAATCTACGCACTTGGAATTTCCCCTGTCACTATTTTCAATGAATAGAACAAATAAAGTGAATATCCCAGGTAAATGGAGTAAAATAATATGCAGGACGATTAATCATCGTCCCACGAATTAAACAGGAAAGCGGTGAAACGGTTGCACTCAATTTTCATATAATCAGTAAAAATCGGTAATCAATCAACCGTCAGTATCGCAGTTGTTTAGACAGATACGAAAATACTCGTTACCACTTTTTTTGTGGAGGTAATTGAGCCCTGCAAAATATATTACCATAATAATTTCGCTAGCTCTCTTAGGTACGGAGATATTTATCTAAAAAGCGGAGAATGGAATCGGCGTGAATTGTTTTGGAGTTTTGCTGTCAGGTGTTCGTATTTTTTGGGTCTTTCCGATTATTTCATTCAATGACAATCAGAAAATCGTCAACACTCAGTTGATACTCGAATATTTACGGAAGTGAATTATGAAAATGCCATCAATTGAGATTGGATAATCGGTAGAAATTGTACGGATCAGATAACATGTCATCATTACCATTCGCGATTTGCAACATCATCGCGATAGAAATTCACGGTCTAATAATTCCTGTAATCTCCTTGCTAACTGTTATATGTATTTTATTACTATGCAGATGAGTAATCTCAATTTATCGTGTGTTAGATTTAACAGGATCTGATCGCCCTCTCCACTTATCCACAGAGCAGGAAATATCATCACAAGAAATAATTTTCTACTATTTTCATTTTCCTCATTTAATTAATAAATTAATTCAGTGTCATCGATGAAATTTAATAGAAATAATGAACTTACGATTTTCTTTTCAGAACTTCAGTTCCATTGAAATCGAATGGAGATCATTGAATGATGAAATACCGCACAGAGAACCATTCGGCCGATAGATTCAATTGAATGATTGTCATCATTACACACTCAATGACAAAATCAAGTCAATTGTTCTAGAGTTCTCCATAAAATCTTTCTTGCAGCACAAAAAAAATTTAACATTTCCCATCCACTGCATAAATTTCTAAAAATCATTACTCATGACAATTTCTATTGATTCCCATTATTCCTATAACAATCACAGCAATTATCATCAATCTTATAATTACCATTACTAAAAAAAATGAATTGTTCATATATAAAAAATAAAATGAAATATTAACTTATATCGATTTTTGTAATTGTTATTGATATTCTTTCATTATGTAATAAGTAATATAATTAATGTAGAAAATTAATAATTACTGCACATTTGTTAAATTAATTATTGTAATTGTGATTATAGTAATTATTGGATTTGAATGGATTTTTTGAATTGATCGATTTTTTTGGGGGTGAGTGGGTGCTTTTTGTTTGATTTTTTTTTCATCCCAGTAAAAAGTGATCAATTGAAAAAAGTTGTATGAAGACAATGCACTCGACTATTAAGCTGGATAGCGTGAATAGAAGGGCAGTGAATAATCTGGGGTCTCTTGAAGCCAGTGCCATATAAAAGCTCGTGGTATACAGTCGAAAGGAGACACTCACTAACGGGAAACAGTTCGTTGATCACCTGCACAATATTCCAACAATAAACGAAAAATCTATCCAGTGATAATAAATATCGAAACAAATAATCACTGTCTCTCCATTTGCCCCACATATCGTGTGTCGACTTGAAACAAGTACGAGTGATTGCCAGTGATTAATCCAGTGATTAATCCAGTGATTAATCCAGGAATTGGCCCGGGAATCACCTCAGGAATTTCTCCAGGAATTTATCCAGAAATTGTACTAGAGAATTGAAAATAATCCGGAGATTCTCAGTGTGAAGTCGTGATTTGAGTGGATTTCAGGCGTCAGATTCAGCGGTCAGTCGAATATTTATTGAGGTTTTTATCGAAAATACAAAGTCTATCACCCAGTGTTCATTAGCCAATGGAATGTTTCACGAAATTAGTCTGACCCTCTGCATTCTTGTGATAACCGGTTTCCCCGATAAATTCATATCAAATTTAATGTTTTTGGTAATTAGTGTAATCTAACAAAAAATTTTGATGAGAATGTCAGTTGTTGCCGAATTCTTTTCTCTTGTAAGACAATGGGGTAATGGGTACAAATGATTATGAACATAATTATTCGTAATGAAGTAAAATAATGAGGGAGAGTTGATCGCGCTTCAATCCGCGGGTCGCACGTGCTCACAGAAAATCATGAGGTCAATTACTCTTACACCTGCCTTTCTGGTTTTGCAATACTCAGTGTACCATCATTATAAAATTCGGGTCAACCTTTCCTGTGCAATGAGTACCACCATTTGTATTAATGTGATAAAGTACTCGGTGCATTGAACCATCGGTGAAGTGTTACCGTGAGAATCATGAGCATTTATACATTGTAATGAATAAAATCATGCCGAGCGCAATCTCTGATGAAACAACTCTTGCTTCCAATCACAATTTCTACAAATCACTTCGGCATCCTTTCCCGAGGCTAATGACAAGTCAATTTATTTTTAATGAAATGCGGTGTCAGTAGCCAATTGCTGATCTAAGATCATTAAAGAGAATTACGCATTTTTGTAATTATCGTTCTATCTCAGAAACTACGGGCCACAGGTGAAAACGTTTGGTGACATTTTTGTAGCTGATCAATTTTCCGAAAAGAAATATCTTTTCAGATTTTCTCGTAAAATCAATATTTTATTATTAATCGATGCTTTTAAAAAACTGAAAATTCTAATTATCACAGAAATATTATTTTGAAAGTAATTTCTCTCTTCAGTGCTGATATATAATTAACGGACACAGATCGTATCGATTTTATCAGCTCAATACTTGATCGATGGAACATGAAAGACTATCAGTATATTTTTAAGACACTGGGATAGTTATAAAATCTCGCTGTCAAGAAAAAAATCACTTGATTAAATCCTACATTTTTAACATTTCATCAACTGGTTTACCTAATTTTCGTTGCGTTAAATCCAAGGTATTGTAGGAATGGGTTATTGTATTTTCCTTCATGGTAATTAATGAGTTTTTGAAGGCCAGGAATGACGCGGTCGAAGGCTGTCTTTTCAGAGAGTGATCTAGGTCGGCAAAGTGAGAGCCCCGTTTCGAGTATTTGATTTCACCAAAACAAGGTGAAGAGAATCGAAACGAAAGAAAACCCACAAGAATAAAACTCTAAATGAGGGCCTCACTCGACATTTAAAATATTTTAATAAAATAATTTTTTGCTGACAAGAATGATTATCTCCTCTGACAGATGGGTTCACTGCAGCAGCACTCGATTCTAAAAGGTGACAATATAAATTGGAAGGACAAAGACAATATAATCCACAGAATTTTCGAGAAAACAGTTAAGAATTGTGGAGGCCAGGCAGCAATAATCCACGAAGGTAATCATCCACAAAATTTAAATAAAATCTGTATCCCATGAATATTAAAAACCTATTACCCATGCAGATGAAAACGGTGGAAATTACTCTTTTTCCTACGACGAGCTGGAGTCATCTGCGAACAGATTGGCAAGAAATCTGAGAAAATTATGCAAGCCTTCTGCCAAGGCAGATTCCATCGTGGCTGTATCCATGATCCCCAGCCACAACCTGCCGATTATTCTCCTCTCAATTCTCAAATCTGGAATGGCTTATCTGCCACTTGATGTGGACTATCCCGAATCCAGAGTTAAACATATTCTTGGAGAATCGGAACCGCTCATGGTCATCATTGACGGAGGTAGTTTATTTAGTTGAATTATCCACGTCACTGTTAATGCGATAATTGCCAGGATATTTGAAAAAATATCACCAGGTAATACGGAAAAGCCTTGACTGCTGGACTAGGATGCCGAGTTAATTGTAACCCTGAAGAAGCATTAAATATGTAAAGGATATGGTTTCCTACGTTATTTAAATATTGACTCGAGGTCGCGATCGTCTCCACCCTGCCACCCGGTCATCACCTAACAGTTCTCAATGATGGGGAAAAAAATACAACTCCTCCGCATTTTCTGTTGCAACAGTCGTAAACTGTTACACCAGTTACATTGTTGCACATCGTGTTATGAATTTTAAATAAATAAATGCCTTATTCGATCTCAATGTCGATTCTCATTATTAATCAAATGATAATAAAATGATAATCAAATGATAATTGACGACATTTCAGGTAACAAATCAATTTACGAGGGAACACTCACGTTGACGTTCAACGAATTGTGGGAAGAGTCAGCTGACGAGTCTGATGAACCCCTGGACCACGAGGAAGATCCTGAGCAGCTGGCTATTGTACTCTACACGTCTGGTAGCACTGGAGTACCGAAGGGAGTCAGATTGCCACATGCCACTCTGGTGAATCGCCTCCTCTGGCAGTGGAGGGAATTGCCTTTCAGGGACGACGAGCAGATATGCATTTTCAAAACTGCCCTTACCTTCGTTGACAGTGGACCAGAGATCTGGGGACCTCTTCTTCAAGGGAGAACAATCGTTGTTGTCCCGAAACAGGTCACCAAGGATCCCGAGAGGTTCATTGATACTCTGGAGAAGCACAACATCCAGAGGCTTGTACTGGTGCCGTCACTTCTCCAGTCGATCCTCATGTACCTGGACATTCGTGTAATTTCTATTGCAACATTTATCATTTTATCAATTCATGTACCTCATTTGTGATTGAAAAAACATCAATTAAGCGATAATTATTACAGAATGACACAGAAACCCTGAAATCACTACGACTTTGGATCTGCTCCGGTGAGACTCTCTCCCAGTCTTTGGCCCATCAATTCTTCACTAGATTCTCAGCGTTCAATCATACCCTTGCCAATTTCTACGGTAGCACGGAGGTCATGGGTGATGTCACTTATCATCTGCTGAATGAAACGAGCCAATTGAAAGATATCCAGAAAGTTCCAATTGGTACTTACTATATTGAAATTATCCCCAATTTATCCTGATGGATGATAAATCCAGGATTTTTTACAGGACGACCCCTGGACAACTGCATTATTTATTTAGTTAATGAAGACCTTCGCCTGGTGGCACACGGCGACGTCGGTGAGGTCGTCGTTGCTGGAAGAAATTTAGCTGCTGGCTACATCCGGGGTAGAGATCCCCACAAATTCGTCAGCAATCCCCACGCCATTGATCCAGGTAAATTGATTAAATAAAATTTCATACGACGATTTCAGATGACGAGTCTTAATTCTCCCCTTGGCCCAATCCATTTTCACTGAGAATCGCAAGGGGCAATCAAGATAATTATCTGACTGGAAATTTCGCACATAAATAGATAAACCGACGGGTTCGTTAGGCTCATGATGAGTCAAGGACTTGGGACACAAAATCAACCCATTATTATCTCGTTAATTAATTTCAATTCAAATGGGTGTTCGTTGGTACACCGGAAACCGTAGGACAATGCTTCCAGCAGTATTGGCCTTGCAAATTAAATCCAACTAAATCCATCGAGTTCAGGATTATTCCAACAAATTGCCTTGCAAATTACGGAGAATGCAGACTTGCCACTCACTTGGCAATTACCTTACAATGTACCGCAATATGGCATAAAGTAATAACGTCACATCGCAGAATCGCTCGTAAAAGGAGACAATTCGACTTCGCTCTCCGATCTGTTTCTATCGAAATCTCGAAATCCAAAGGAGACAGTGAAATTTTTGTAATAAACAATTTTATAGCTCGCAATTTTCTCTAGAAAAAAGTTCCTGAGATAAATGCCATTGTCTGCATTATATTCCGAGATTTCGAGGAAAAACGCGATGGCATTTTTTCGTCGTTTCGTAATTCCAGGATTTTAAGAATTATCGCAGTGGCCTCGGATTTTTTTTTCGGACTACTAGGTTTCGTTGTGCAATCACACCTAGGAGTTCGCTTCGGAATGCTGATCAATAAGTTATTTTATAATTGAATAATGGAAGCAATGCGTTCATAGAATTTTCCGGATAATTGAAACGTCAGCGTCGCCAGTCGCGGAATTGCCAGTGATACGTCATGAATGGTATCAAATTCCACGACTGATTGACAATCAGGAATGAATCATGGGAAAGTCGTTGCGAATTCTGAATGGAGGGAGTTACTATCATTGACCTTCTGCAGCTGGTCTTGAACTCAAATCCACATAACTGCGGTATAAAAAAAAAATTCCCCGATAAGAATTTCAATATTTTTACAGAATACTCGATAATATATCGAACCGGTGATTACGCGAGAATCGTGAAAGGAATTCTTATCTACGAAGGACGAACTGATTCACAAGTCAAGATCCGAGGACATCGGGTTGATCTTGCGGAAGTGGAAAAATCCGTTGGAGGAATTCCCACTGTGGATAAGGCCGTCGTACTGTGTTACAAGCCTGGGGAATTAGCTCAGGTAATGACGATTGAATTAACATATCCATCATCGTGATTAATCAATTCTCAATTATTCCAGGCTCTACTTGCATTCGTAACGGTAAAGACTGGAGCTTCTGACTCAGGCTTGGAGATTGAAAACCACTTGCGGAGTGCATTACCTTCGTACATGATTCCTCAAGTCATTGTTATTGAAAAAATACCGCTACTTATCAATGGAAAGACAGATAGACAGGCATTGCTCGCTATGTACGAAACATCGAGTTGTAATCGAGGTACAATTTTTTATCAACTCACTCTGTCAATGGATTTTTTTCGAATCTTTTTATTGATCCATGAGGGGTTGTAGATGCTGGAAAAATCAACTGCGACTACACAGGAGTCCCCGAGAATCTCCTGGCCAAGGCGCAGATTCTTTTTTCCACCGTTGCATCTGTTATCGGAACAAGTGGACGATTTGCTGTTGATATAAACGCCAATTTTTATGAACTCGGTGGAAATTCATTGAATTCCATTTACACCGTCACTAAACTCCGTGAGCAGGGATTTGAAGTGGGAATCACGGATTTCCTGAAAGCAAAAAATATGATGGAGATACTGGAGAAGATGAGTCAGTCGGGTGGGAAAAATGTAAAGAATGAACCGGAGAAATCTAAATTTATCATTGAAGTGTTGGATCACTCGCACAGAGCCGACGTCACACAGTAAGAATCACAATAAATTAATCGAAATAAATTGATCAATTGATTGATTAATTTTTTCCAGCATTTTAACCGAGAGCTTCTACTTGAAAGCCGACCTCGAGAGATGGCTAGCGCCAGACGTTTTGAGAAGTGATTACCACGAGCTGATGGCAGCCCTTTGGCATCCCCTCGTGGAGAAGGGATTGAGTTTCGTGGTGAAGTCATTGGACGACGCAAAAACGATGCTGGGTGTTGCCCTGAGCTTCGATGCCTACGACGAGCCTGACTGCGTCATCACATCGAAACTCGCGATTGTCTTTGAATTTCTGGAGCACCTGGAGGCACCCCTCAGAGAAACTAAACTGCCAGTTGGAAAGGGAAAAATCCTCCACTGCTACATGATGGCCACAAATACTGACCTCAGTCCAGCTGACAACGTCATCATCATGAGTGAGATGGAGAGGGAACTCCTGGAGCTGGCAACTGATAAAGGATACCTTGGCATTTTCACCACCAACACTAGTCCTCTCACACAGGTATTTGAATTTTTAATTAATCTAGACTCCGTAATCTGATTCCATAAATATTTTCTAGCAACTTGATGTTGATGTTTATGGATACGAAGTCCTCCTGGATTACCAGGTGAATCAGTATGTCGCACCTGATGGTACGAAACCGTTTGGACAGGCACCAGACGATCAGAGAGCTGTCTGCTGTTGGAAGACAATTAGTCCACACCCCTGAATTCGCAGAACGATATCTCTGTAAATAGTTTTGTAAATATTCGTTCAAGCCCGTTGCACAATTTTTTTTTTCAGTCCCTGGGCCCCTCTTCAGGCGCCAGAAATCATGACGTAATTCTCCACGTTGAGAATTAATCTAGTTTAGTCATATTTCATTTATTCTGACGTTCCACTTATTCATTACGAGATATAGAGTAATTATTATTCATAAATGACGTTGACTCGGTGATTTATAATTAGAATCCCCGCGAAATATTTCTTGGATTAATCGTTCACTTCGAGGACAATTCGCCGAGAATAACTTTGCATTCATTTTATTACGATAAATTATCCAATTTTCACAAAATATATATCAAGGCACATAAATAATTGTTTCACTATTGAAGTTTAGCAGCAGCACATTAAATACCTCAGGAGTTCTCTCGTTGAATAAACGAGATTAAATATTAAATAGTTGAGAGATTCATTGAGATTTTTTTACAAAAATCACGTCATTCGCTAGATTATCTTTATTTGTCACTAAACTGTAAACGAAGTATCCTTTTGTCTGCATGAATTCCATCAGTCGTTGCTGACCCCCTTCCACGTGGGTAAATTCAACTGAGAGAGTCTGCAAAAATTGTTTTCATACGAATTTGTATTTTAATCGAATTTCTAAGGATTTTCAATAGAAGTTTAACTGAATTTTCATGGAAATTGAAATAATTATTACCGTGATATCAACTTTGTCGAATGGAATAGTTTTTAGGACATCTAGCTCATGTCCCTCGATGTCAAGACTGAAATAGTCGACAGTCTTAATTTTTAGTGCAGCAATATAGGAAGCAAGAGGAAAACATTGAACACCCACGTGTGTACCCTCGTGAGCCCGATCCAGGGTATTTGTTAAATTTGGAAGACGATGTTCATGAGGCTCGTGAATTCTCCCGATGTTCCTCGCCATCAGGAATGAAACCTGAAAAATATCAGGTTTGGAGAACGTGACGTATCGTTTAAAAGAGAAAAGAGCGACACGAGGACGAGAACAATCTCAAGTGAATGCCATTGAATTAGATGGTTTAACACTTGGAGATAAATTAATGGATCTCGTTCTCATTATGATATGGTAATGGATCTAGTTCTCACGTTTGTGGGATGTGGTTTAATGCTGAGACAAGTCGGTGAAAGATAGGCTCTACGATTTTTATTCAGCATCTTCGTAAAATTTATTGGATCAGCCTCTATTAAAATCCCAGTCCAATTAAGTTGCTTCTCTAAAACCCAAGTGTTGCTACGAGTTTCGCCATCGTATGCTCCGCATTCTATGAAGAATCCATTCGTCTAGAAAGAAATTGTCACTTAATCGTAAAAAATTCCAAATCTCTCGGCTTTTTTAATTCCCAATTGCGCCCCTTTTGTTGCACTTGTTTGTAATTATTTTGGAATGTTTTAATTACTTTATTATTGAAGTAATCTCTAATTGCTTTGGCCTGACCCATCGACGGATCTTCCTCCTTCGATTCTCGAAAACCCAGATAAGGAAAATTTATGGTTTTATTAATTTCTTTAATTATCCAGTGCTCAAGAAGAATGTGCAATAATCGGGGATCGAACATATCGATATTTTCATGGTTGTACCAATCCTCGGCTCCACTCTGGTTGAACCACTTCTGCACAACTAAAAATTAAACATTTGTTTATAAGAATTTTTTGACAGTTTTGCTGTTAATTTTTTTGCATTACCGTAATTGTAGATTTCAGGGGACACATCGTCGTGGTAAGTATCTCTCGGTGACGAGTGCTGAGTACTCCTCGTGACAATAACAATAAGAATAATTATTAAAGCTACTGCAAGAATCGGCCACCTCTGTCGGTAGATGCACTTTGCGCTGGAGTTGAGTAATCCATAATTAAGCCCCTTCTGCAATAATTTCTGCAATTATTCCCGTGGCAAAATGATAGCGTGAGATAAATCGAATTTTCCAGTTGTAATATTTTTTGTTGTAATTTTTTAAGTAAAATTTTGAGTTGCGTTATTTGTTAATTGGCAGCCGTCATAAATATCCATTAATCTCAAAAACTACCGGTCTTAAAAAAAATGTCAAAAGACCGTTTTTCTCGGAAATTTAATTACCCATAAAAAAGTATATTACGGTTTCAACCGTATATCTACAATTTTCAAAGTACCGGTAATTAAAAATATTAATTTGGACTTATCTCGCTACTGTTTTTTCTTAAAAAAAGAATTTCGCCTCAAAATTTTTATAACGATATCAACCAACTGTTCTCACTGCCGACATCCTTGATATTGAACATCTGCTCCGCCCACGTGGTTCCCCACTACAAACTTCAAACAGAAAACAATGAATTAATGAACATGAAAACACTTGCGTAATGAAATCATAACAGGTAATTTGCTTTGGGCAGTATTTTTGGAATATCTCCGGAACTAAAGGAGATAATGAAATATTCGTCATAGCCTTTTCTGTAGAGCTCATCAAGCCCTAGAAAAAAGGTTATTACGAAATTTACGCAATCACCACTCGATTCGCTGATATTTCAGGAAAACTCACCGTACAGCTCAATTCCTTTTCCCGACCCGTTGCTGACTAATCGAAAAATGTTCTGAGAATTTATTTTAAATTAATTTCTTGAGATTCGTAAAACTGATTAGACGAGCGAATATGCCACGTGCAGCATGTGGTGTTCGACGTCTAAACGTTATTTGGTCACGTAGTGGTAGTAACAAAAGTGTAATTCATGCAGAGATCTAAATATAGAAACGCAAGTTAATTATATGACCAGGTGATTCGACCTTGAAGTTGGAAAACCCATTGATACCAGAGCCAGGCCTCCAAAGGATTGCCAATTTCCTTCTTAAAAATTCAATTGAATGTTCCTCACTCTCTGGAGATTTTATCTAAAAAAAAAATCCTCACTGTTTTTTTCCTGATTGTATTTTTTTTCAATGAGGATAAAAATAATTTTTAAAAACTAATAGAATTTCCACAGAAACGCGAGCCTCATCTATTGATTTTTCACACCTTTGGATATTCCTGTACGTGGCAGACTGAAATTCCCGACGGAGTGGAAAAATAATAATTAATTCAATTGTATCGAACATGGTAACGCGATTGCAGAGGAATCTAGCAGTAAATAATATTCAATTATTGCCTTGGAATTATTCGTTGTGAGTTTCCATGTGATTGAGCTTGTCCTTGATTATTATTCCGTCGAACAGATGATTAATTGAACAACAGGTCAATCGTTGAGATCAAATGGCAATAGAATTTGAGTAATTGAGAACTATAAAAGGCTATTGAAAAAATAAATAGGCGAATAGGCTATTGTAAAAATAAATAGGCTAATAGGCTATTGAAAAATATTTGCAATTTCCATTACTTCAGAGTAATTTTAAAAATTGAGAATGAGAAATAATTCCGCAGCGAATATTCACTTCGGAATTAATAATAAAAATGATCAAGTTTAAAGAGCGTAAGATGAAATTATATATTAGATCACCGAAAAAATGGTCTTCGAATTTCCCTCGAACTCTCCCCACTCCGATGTTTTTCGAAATAAACCGAAGATTTCCGATGTTTATTCTCTCGTCAATCACTTGGTTCATAAATAAAGAGTAATTCAGGAATGTTCTGAAAAATTCAATCAAGTAATCGTTCACAACAATATCCACTACTTGTCACGTGAAGGAATGAGGCAGTGATTAGAATTTTGGGTTATTTTCAGATAGAAAATGAGTGGGAAAATTGCACATCGCGATGTCGGACCTCTGCTCCAATACTTTCGGGATTTTATGCGAGGGGTAAGAGCTCTAACCTATGATAACTGTCAAAATAATTACGTAAGTAGTAGATGGAGATCATTTAATTATTCACAGAGAAAGCACGTAAATCATATAAGATGGGCAGATGATATTGCAGCACGTACTCAACCTTCACCAGACCTTCCAGGTGGACCATATCATAAGACAACTAAAATATATTACTTCAACAGAGATGCTAGACGTCTGGTCCAGCATCCAGAAATAATTGTAGTAGGGAAAAAACAAATTACTGCTGGGTAAGTTCGAAAGTTTGGAGGAAAGTCAATATTTCAGATATTTTTTGGAGTTCTCGAGGAATATCTCTTGACCTAAAAGAGTTAGCGATTGTTCTGTCAAGACTTCATTTGTAGAGTGAAACGAGAGCTCCAAAAAAGATTACCACAAAAATGTCACTGTCTCTCTCGGATCCAGAGCAATTCCACGCAATACTTCATAATTCATTTTGCAGATCTGCTGTTTCATCGGAGGTAAAACTAATTACTCCAAACGCCTCTTATCTTCCCAAATTAACTGAACCCCCGGCGTCAGTCTACCCTGACGAGATTGGAGGATAAATTCTGGAAGAACTGAGAATAAAAATTTAGCCCGTAAATTTTACCTGTAGAAAATGCAAATAAATAATTATTACTGGTACTTCAAATGGATTACAAGTACATAATTTCTTTTATTATATTTTTATAACGTGATCATCAACAGTTCAATAAATATATATATATATCTCTCATTGAATACAATCATAGCGAGTAAATAAAATGGAATGAGTTACAGTGCAGGTAGCCATAATACATGGACCAAAATCAGAAAATTTGATAAGTTAAATTTTTCTCAATAGTTTACAATGATTAATTCACAATTACAATACATCATCCCCGTTCTTACTTCCCCTCATTGCAGCTCATAAGAGATTTCTCCCAATTGCTAGCAATGCAAGTATTTACAAACCGAAGATAATAGTGTATGATTCATTGGCACCAGTTTTACAGGCCGTGACCAGTTCGATAATCAATAAGGGATTTGATTTTGATAATACTGTATCATATCGTATGTTTTTGTACGGAAATTGAGGAAGCTGTTGCGAATGACATTCAGCATAAATGCAGCAGCATCTCGATCATTAGCCATCGGTGCAAATCGACTGCGCAATAATTTGATAGTTTGACCCCGAAAACAGGGCAATCCAGTATCGAGCATCAACGAGACTAGAGAAATAATGGCCTCCTGATAAGGCCTGAAAATAATTGAACAAATAATGATCATTCTCTTCAGTCAATTTAATTGATTTAATACATAATAAATCGAAACACTCACCTGACAGCAAGAAATGCCTGCACACACAATTCCATGAACCACTTGAAAGGTGCAGCTTCCATTTTTCCACCCATCACCAGTACCATCTCGTCGGTGAGCTTGATGTCAGGTTCAAATCCTAGATTACCGCCTGGTGAACTCTCGAACATAAATCCAAAGTCGATATGAATTATGTGACCCTCGTCGTCGAGCATAATATTGCCGTTGTGACGATCTTTTATCTGCAAGAGATATGTAATAACACTGTACGCAGCCATGGACTTGACGAAGTTCCGTCGGGCAGTCTGGAATTCCTTGCTTGTTTCATCCCCGTACTTCGCCAGGAAGTACTCGTACATTCCAAAGTCTGTTTGACGTCCCAATTGGTCGCGGGATTCAGCGTTTGGTACGCATTCAATTACGCCACACTATTGGAATAATCAATTACTCAGTTTGGGAGGTGAAAATAATAATTAGGCAAAACTATTCCTGAAACTGTGCAATTAAACTCACCCCAGGTGCAGTGGCGACAACTCTGTAAGGAAACAGGAATAAATTCAGCCCGACTTTCCGGAAAATATTCTTAAAAATCCCAATGACTTGTAGTGCCAGCATATCCTGTCTCACGTCATCCCCAACTTTGAAGATAGCAGCCTGCCAGACTTCCTGTCCAGCGCACTTGGTCTCGACTTTTCCATTGGCAGAGACTGCCATCGCAATATTCTCCAACTCCTTAATCCCATACTTCTGGACTTTGAATCGAGCGAGGAAAGGAGCCTTGGCAGCACTCTGGAGAGGTCTCCCACTCTTGTAATCGATATCAATGACCATAGCCTCAGGATTGGAGGGTAGATAACACCCAGGCTGCACCGTGATATTCCTCAAAGCCTTGAGACAGGCTTCCCGCCTGTCAGGGCCCTTAGGATAGGGTCTTATCTCCCCAGAGATATTCGTTATCTTCTCGAAGAAATCAAACTCCCTCTCGTAGAATTGCTTGGCAGGTCCAGAGAGTGAGGAGAGAATGGCCTTGACCAATGCATCAAGAGTGTCAAATAAATCAGGATCCTTGATCTGCTTGTCCTCGTCTCTGTACATATTGACGTGCATATTCCAGATCAGCTGATGAGCCACAACCTGTGATCTTTTAGCAATAGCCTTGATAAATTCAATAACGTAACCCATGGAGTCATGACGAACAGCCTGAACCAACTGTGGTATGTAAAACAAGACAGCATCAGCGGGATAACTCCCAAGAACTCTTACAGCGTACTGTGCAGATATGGGATGATGTGGAAACTGTCGAGAAAAATAAGCCAACGCCTGAATCGGTGATATTCTCGCCCAGGTGAGCATGAACACCAGCTCAGGAGAATCATTCAACAACGAATCAGTCGTGACGAGGTACTGGAGAGCCTCGGGCACATGCATCACTGGAATTGGCTTGAGTCTGACTAATCTACAAACTTCCCTGATGATCGTATCCGAATTTCTCAAACGAACAGGTAAAAACACTGCGAGAACAGGACTGATGTCCCAGGCAAGTCTAGTGTAATCCCGCCATCGTTCATTCATTGATTTAGCTCTCCATTCAGCAATTGAGGCCTCTCCGGGGACCTGAAGCTCCTGCCTGCCTCCAGGATTGTGCCATACCAAGAGGAGTTCGATCTCTACAGCCAACAGCTCCAGAATTAAATTCCTCTTCTTTATGTAGTCCTTGACGAAAACATTACCGTGCATCATTCGTTTACTTCGATTGCTTCTCTTTCCAAGGGCATTACTACTTGTTGAAAGTGGTACAGTATTAATCCAGACACTTGCTGGCTGTTTCATGGTATCCTTCGATGGAGCCAATGAATTAATCGTCGATATAGAATCGTTCGCTACTAAACTCGTCTGATGCTCTATGAGCATCTCAAAATCACCCTCACCAGTCATCATCAGGTACTTTTTATCACTGTGCATCACCTGCCAGAATCTCATCAACGTCACGATATCCTCTCTCAATTGGTCAGGCTCCTGAGTCGGTGTCTGCCTCTCACGACAGAAATAATCCAGACAATTGCAATACACTCTCTCGCGAAGAACATTTTTACTCAGTGATTTTGGTAAAGTGTCACCCTGCAAGAGAAGAAGGCCACAGGATAATAATTTAAAACGCGCCCCAACAGCAGCCACGTGTCTGTTGAGGATAGGCTCCTCTCCACTGGCTCCAACGGTCATTGGTAATGATCGATGCAACAGCATTGCAATCATCTCGACGGTCTCTTGACAGCAGTACTTCGCTGTTTCAATTAATTCCACGATAAATGCCACCCATATCTCGTGTGGTTTAACGTAAGGTGGATTGGGATCTAGCTCGCAACCCTCGTAAACAGCCAGGGGACTGACTTCCTCCGATCCTGGCGAGAATAGTCCCATTTTTTTGTCCACCGTGTGCTGCCATGCCCCGAGCATCTCCTGGAGAAAACGGAGTTTGAGGTCAGGACGAGCTGTCAAAATCCACTGCCAGCACTCGACAGCTGTTAGCATCGCATTGTGAGTGAATAATTTGATCTGAGATCCAGCTACTGTGTGGAGAAGTCGCCTGTGAACCCCGGGAATGGAAATTAAGAGGGCTGTGGCTCGCCAAAGGGCTGCCTGATGGAGTTTGTCGTTTTGACTGTGACATGCGTGTTCTACAGCCCCAATTACTCGATCAATTACTATTCTTCTGCCATCCTCGAGGGATTGCTCTTCTGATGACGTCTCTGCGTGGGCAAGCGCCAGCATTCCAGTGACCTCTCCAGCGTACCACGACCTCCTTGACATCATAGAGAGCAGCCAGGAACTGGCACCTTTGGTTCCTCTGGGTCTCTTATCCAAGGAGTTTGTGTTTGTAGGGCCAGTGGTTGGGGCAGCCAAATCAACGAACTCTAATACTGAATCTGTGGCCAGAGCCAATCCTGCATGATGCCACATCCCTGAGGAGGGAATTTGATTTATATACTCCTGCAGGTGAGATCTTGTGGCGTGGGGCGCCCATTTCATCGCCTCCTGGACGATTCCTTTACATCTGGCTGCGAAATCCTTGACGATTATTTCTCGCGCCTCTAGGGAATCCATCAGGTGAATTGTATAAGGAGTTCCTGGAATTCTCAATGATGGGCTCTCCTCGTTAGGATCCAACTGCAAAGAGAATGCCAACACCTGGAGAATATCCAACATACTCCACAGGACTCTGCAGTTCCATAATAAATGGGGAAATGCATCGACCAGTGCACTCAAGTATTTGTCAGCAACTCGTCTGATCTGTTTGTGCACGTGATTAAAATTGACTAGAAGGAACTGCGTGTGATTTTCAAGCTCTCGTTCACGTTTCTCGTCCTTTGGTTTTCTCTGCATAACGTCCTTGAATTTTGCAAATACAGAGTCCCCAACGCTACAGATGCACTGCCACATTCCACTTTTATCCTTCTGCAGGTCAGAGTCACTCAGGTACTCCATTATTGGCTCGAGACTGGGTTCAGAGCTGTTGGCAACGCGCAATGTCTCTACCCAGTAAACAGATAACAAATAAGTAATCTGTGCGAACTGCATTTTGGCGACGTACGCACCAATGTCCGATGATCTAATACTCATTCTGAGGATTTGATTTCGCAGCTCCTGGAGTTCACTCAGAGAAACACTCTCGTTACGAACAGCTGACGTGTACTGTAGCTCCCGCATCTCCAATTTGGCGTTGGTCTGAGCTATCAGATATGGGGATTTAATGGCAATTTCTTTGACTCCCTCGTACCATTCTCCTGGCCAGAGCCTAGCAGATTGGGGCTCCACTGGTACAAAACCGAAGACCACGCAATAAAGCCAGAAGTCTTTAAATAATTTTAAAACTCTGGTGCTGGGGTGTCTGATAGGAGGAAGTCTCCTGACTAATATAGCGATGACTGGTATCAAGGCTCCAAGATTTCCAGCTACACTCGAAACTTTCGTCATGGTTGACGTCGTTGAAGTCGCATTATTGACAATTTTCTCACTCTGTCGTTTCCCCTCGAGGCCCATCGACACGAACAGCTGGAGTAGTCGCAGGAGGAGTTTGTCCAGCTCAGCTTCACCCTGGAGATTCGCTGCGATATTAGCAAGAGCATTTGTCACTGCCCCAGTGACGTGTCTGTATTGCTTCCTATCAGAGTTCGTCCCATAAGCAACACAACTCGACTCCAGGGAGACTGAGAACATCTGCATTATTTCACCTCGTGCCTCGCATTTAGCTATTATCATACATCCCAATTGATCGACTATCAGGCTGTCCAGGGCGCTGGGATCTCTGCAGAAGCACTGCTCGAAAAATTGTAAAATACTGCTCGTAGTTTTGGGAGTGTCTCTCAGGGCGACTGCCACGTGACCCAGCATTATCATGATATTCTCGCCTACAAGTTGATTCGATAATTTCTCAGTGTTGTCACTCTTCTCCAGACTGCACATTCTCGTTGATGCACTGCTGACGAGAGCGGGCACACAGTTTGGATAGACTGGCTGTGCTGCCTCCAGGGCAATGCACAGATTTCCAATCGCTGCGTCTCGAAGTTTCTCGAATGCAGCCTGCGAGGGCGAGACTGATCGGTGATTATCAGCATCTTTTCCTTGGATCACTGTCGTGTGAAATTGAGGATCTTTCACAACTTTGTCACTGAATTGTCGATGGAGTTTAACGAGAATCGGAGAGGGATTCATCAGAAAGTCCCGAAGATTGTATTTAGATGTTATCGCGATGTTCGGAAATTTCTGGGCGAGCTTTCCCAGACCCTCCAGACACACCATCAGCAGTGGCATGTGCGCCAGCACCAGCTTAGGACCGTGATTCGAGTTTATTTTCTCTGTTAGTCGACTGCAGAGACTGTCAGCACCTGTGGGGCGAAGGAATTTTTGGATAGAGACTAGCTCGGGATTCGACATTCGCCTGAATGAGTAGATCTAGAAGCTGTTTAATAGCGAGGACATCAGTTCCCTTTATTCATTCAATATTTACCAGGGGAGGGGACCCCTGATCGAATTCAATCAATATTAATTGGATTATAAACACTCATCACGAAGCGATAATTAGGTATTAGTCTTTCAGTGTTAGAAAGTCATCTACTTCTGCTGATGTTTCCTCTATTCAAAATAATTGTCTTATGATGATAAAGCGATTGTTACGAGGCGAGCAGTTATAAAATTCGTACAGGAATGAGTAAAACAATCATGCGCAATTCCTAACACTGGGGTAATTCGAGATACCCTCGCCAATGAGCATGGAACTGAGATCCGCGAGTAGTGCGGCCAAATCGTATTCCCCAAGTGCTGCTGCAAACAAATTTCATCGAAATGCATTTTTAACAAAATACCATTCGTTTCCTGTTTTTTTTTTTAATCATCCTGAACCCTAAAAGACGATTATTAACAAAATCTCAATAATTCACTGTCAAAAAAACTTATTATTCTATATGTCAGGGATAAAACCTGGTGAATTCTTCTAAATTATTTTAATAATGTTATGGAAGGTGAAAATTCAAAAAGTCACCTGTTTCATCGCCAATCGCCCAGACGAGGAGATCCACACAAGCAGAATTCGCCATGACATTCACTTTAAACCGATTAACTGTCCTGAAATTGGTGTCGGCGTCCTCTCGCTCACTGGCATCGTGCTGTCGTGATTGGAGCTCAGTCTGTCCAGAGAGAAATAATCCTTTAACAAATTCCTGAACATCCCTTGTGAATGGAGCGGGAAGATCTCGTTGATTCTGCAGTAATTCCCTGAGCAGAGCGACCATAACTAGATTCATGGTCTCACTGAACGATCGGTAAGGGAATATCTGTATTTGTCCAGAGAAATAAATCTGCTGGGCCTCATCATCGAGGAAAGCCAACGTGTCCTTGGTCAACAATTTTTTAGCAAGAGCTAGAACGCTCTGGAGATGAACAATACTGAAGAGCAGTCCAGTCCTCTTCTCAGGGCTCTCATTGCACCTCATCTGCGGGAATTGATTGAAGCACGAGCCGTATCGAGTGAAAAAATAAGTGCATGGATCGTAGGGAACCGATAAATAAGAATGCAATGACGGTCTCTTCGTGGGAGCATAATCTTCTCCAGCTGTCAATGCAGACTGAGTGCTATCGATAGAGGAGTGTGGATTGAGATTTCCACTGAGTGATCGAGGAATTATTGGTCGAAAATTGGAGAAACTCCTGTGTCTCTTGTTGGGTGATGCCTCGTTGTTGTTCTTCATCGGTGGCTCTGGCTGAGGAAATATCCTGCAGAGCAGGGGAGGATCAACAGTAGCAAATCGTCCCATAGAACGTGCCAGACCAAACAAAACTGGCACCACACATTTGCAGAGGGACAATTTCGCCTGGAGTCCACGAGCTCCATTTTGCTCTTTGCAACTTCTGATTAGATTCGTTATTACCGAGAGGATTTCTACCTGGGTGGCTATTATCTCGTCACATGCTGTTTCTCCTCGTGCTGCTACATCACTCAGGAGAGTATTTAGGCAGAAGCTGAATCGTTCAGCCACTGGAATTCTTTCCACTGGTGTCACTCTTATTTCGTCCAGCCAGACGACTTTTGGCAGCCCTCGTAGAAGACGTAGCAAATAGGGGAGGATTTTCTCCCTGTGTTGGAGGTCTGATTCCAGGAAGTAAATTCCTAGAGCTATTATTGCGTCCTGGCCACGTTGATCAATACGAAAAACTCCTTGACCTGACTCTTGGGGACATAACTTGAAGAGTCGATTCACCTGTTTTCAGAAAATCGTGAAGAGGAAAAAATTCCGAGATAAAATACCACTGGCAGTATATCTTGATAATTGAAATTATTTCGATCAATGATGTGATATGAAGAACGCAATTATTTTTTTATTCTGCCGGTTTTCTACGTATTAACGGGTAGATGTGAGTCTTGAATTTTTTTATTGTTTTTTTTTTCATTACTGGTGATTAGTTAATTTACCTTCTCCCATGGTGTGGGTTTTATTCCTGCCAAAGATCTTGCCAAATGTTGTACTGTTTTTGTAAAGAATACTTTATCATCTGCAGCCATTTTTCGGTGACAGCTAATTTTTCGAATATGTCACCAGTTTTTACAAATGTCTCTGGAAACACTGGCTGACGACAGCTATGAGATAATATCACTTGAATAGTTGCTAAATCATTTTTTTAACGATCAAAGATTTGTGTAGAGCACACAAGTCATGCAGTTATGTACTGCGCTGACTCGGGGGTTTTATTTTCGTTCGAGTTCGCTGGATTCGTTTAATTTTTATCCACCGACGATAAAGAAATGAGGAGGGATTTTAATTTAAATAAAAAACCAGCTGTTTGCACATAATTGTCAAAGTGAGGGCTTGAAAATGAGTGAAAACGTTCGAATTGAGATAATTCTTTGAAGAAAATTGATTAATTCAATCCAATTAATTTATATAATTAATTTCTTGAGATTATTATTCGCATAATATTGACATTCTGGCGACATAACCAAGAGAATAATTCGTTCTTCATCGGGGAATGGCTGACTTTTGGCCGACGATTACGTGCAATTGAAAATTACAATTATGTTATGGCGTCTTCATGGGTAGAGCTTATTAATTGCTAAAGTTTAATTTGTAGATTTTTCAAAGATTTGACGTGAAAGTAATGTGATAAACGTTTCCATTTTGGTTTGTGTATTTCCATAATTCAATTAGTCTCAGTCCCTGTATTCATTTTCGAAATAATGATGCACTTATGACAAAAAATTAATTAGTCAATCATGATGAAGTGATTCTCTTGATTAGCTGAAACCGAAAGTGGAATTGATTCGTTTTTTTCTACGTACACGTTGTAGTCTAGTTGTTGAGTTCAATTTTCAATGAGTTCCAAAGTTCAACCTCCACTGGGTTGAACCGGTTCCCATTACAGTTAACTGCATCTCATTCTCTCCAATACCATCAGTGCCAGCAATAAAAATCATGTCTGAAAACCAATCCGTTAGTCCTGTTAAGTATTTCATTAGTGGAGGAGTCGGTGGAATTTTTACAGTAGTTACCGGACATCCACTCGATACAATAAAGGTAAAATTATGTAATTTAACTCAGAAATAAAAATTCAGGACGAGTGAGACTCAGAAATTCAATAGACCTGGAACGTCTCACTTTCAGGTTCGTCTCCAGACGGCACCAAAACCAGGACCTGGTGAATCTCCTCTTTACAAGGGAACATGGGACTGTGCCAAGAAAACTGTTGCCAAAGAGGGCCTGCGGGGACTCTACAAAGGCAAAATGTTCATTCGATATATCAGTGATGATGTGATAAATCGTCACCGGTTGATTTTTCCATGAATGAAAAATGAGGAACGACTGGTGACGATTGTCCACTTCCACTGATTCTAAAGTTTCTCCTCAATTCCATTTTAATCATTCAATTATCTATCTCAGGAATGGGAGCTCCTCTCACTGGAGTCGCTCCAATTTTTGCCATGAGTTTCTTTGGGTATGGAGTGGGAAAAAAGCTCCAACAAAAGTCTGACGATGAAAAATTAACGCCAATGCAGTTATTCTATGCTGGTGCCTTCAGTGGAATTTTTACGACAACCATAATGGCTCCTGGTGAACGAATCAAGTGCCTTCTTCAAATTCAACATGGACAGGCTGTAGCTAAATACAATGGGCCAGTGGATTGTATCAAACAGCTGTATAAAGAGGGTGGAATCAGGAGTATTTACAAAGGCACTGGTGCCACTCTTCTTCGAGGTAAATTGCGAATGAATATATTATATATTCATTTATCCGACTCATTGTTCGATTGTCTATTCAGACGTTCCTGCTAGTGGAATGTATTTTCTGACGTATGAGGGACTCCAGAGGCTGATGGCGGAAGAGGGCCAGAAACTCAGCCTTTGGTCGACAATATTTGCCGGAGGCTGTGCAGGAATTGCCAATTGGATCATTGGAATGCCGGCTGATGTCCTAAAAAGCCGATTACAGACGGGTAAATTCCGTAAATTCACGATTAATCAATTTGTCATTTATCATTAATTTTATTTCTTATAATTCGGTGATACTCTAGCCCCAGAGGGAACTTACAAGGGAATTGGTGATGTCTTCAAACAGCTGATGCGTGAGGAAGGACCTCTTGCCCTTTACAAGGGAGTCGTACCAGTGATGCTTCGGGCTTTCCCAGCCAATGCTGCGTGTTTCCTCGGCTTTGAAATTGCCCTAAAGGGTCTCAACTGGGCGGCTCCCAATTTATAATGCATAAATCATTAATGATTGGGTGATACAGCGAATTTATTTTCGATTTATTATAGAATTTTTTCTGATTCGTTAAGAGCATTACAAATTTTATATAGAGTTTCACTCATGTCTTCAATGAAGCACAATGATTGGAAAATATAAGAGCCATTTTCAGCGAATAAAGTTTTCTAATAAATATTAATTGACTCACGAAGCAATGAATACGTTACACATTTGGTGATTGGCGTGGTAAATCTCAAAATCTGTGGGCAGATAAAATTCGTTGCAGAAATTTTCTTTTCTTTTTACATCAAATATCTATATTTACTCCATTCGATAATTCACGACGTGATTTTTTGATTTACCATTTTAAAATCATCCCATCAATCTCATTACTCCCTCAAGTGGTTTTTCTGAGGTCAACGACTGTGACATTAGCTGTTGCATCGAGTTTGCAGTGATCTGCATGGGTGTAAAGAGATTTTTCATTGGGATGTGGATGGAAACCAGTAGCTCTACAACGAGCTATGAAATTCAGTCCGTGGTCAGGAGTTAACATGAAGAATCCAGTTTCCTCATATTTGGGTGCACAAACGACAGCAATAGCTTCAGCCATCATGAGCTGATAGGCACAGTGTGTGTGAAGATCAACGCTGGAGAGGAAAGCAGTTTGAGTTGGATGAGTGTGAATCCACCCCAGAGTAATGAGACTGTGCTGGTCCTGATAATCAAATATATCCTCCTCATTGTGAGTAACACATGAGTCTGAGGATCCCATCTGTTGTGGAATGAGTAAATGAGTGACAAACAGCTGATTCCTCACCAAACTCCCAGCCAAAATGCCACACGTCTCTTTATTATTGGCTGTATTTCCACGAGACAGTTTCAGAAATTCAGTCATCATCCTCGAGGGCATTGACATCTGCCTCAAACCAGATTTAGGTGAGGGATAGGTCGAGGGTTTCAAGGATCGATCAAACACTGGAAGATTCGTGTCATCAGCTGTGCTAGGGGCCACTCGATCCAAACGATCCAAACGATCAAAGTCACCACTAAAATCGGCTGATCTCAATCTCGGGGTTTTCTCCTCCAACTCACTCACTCGAAGTCTCTCCTCCTCTTCATGCTTTTGCTGTTTCAATTTCTCGATTGCAATTGCGGCGTCCTGTTTATACTGCTCTAGTAATTTTTTCTTCAATTCCTCCGCTACAGGAATTATTTTCTTCAGCATCGCCGTATTCTTCGCTTTCTCCGCTGCCGGCACCGTATTGTACTGCGGGTGATTCATAATTTTTTCTAAAAATATACTATTGATACTGTTAATTTTAAAATCATGCGTTCAATGCTGGAGACGTATGAAAAAATCATCTGTTTAAAATTCAAGCAGAAAAATGATAGTCTATTACCATTTTACCGGCACATGGCATTTATTAGTGTTTTCAGAGAGTCTAGGCTATTTTATTCAATTTTTTTCATTTTTTCATACGCACTGGGGGTACGTCAGAATAATCGACTCACGTTAAAAATTTCATATATAATGCATATGCAGACTCCAGACTTCCCTCCTTCAAGTAAACCGCTGCCATTTTAGTCATGTCAATGCCAGTTCGATAATATCTTAAAAAACATAATGATAAATAAGTTAAAGTCACAGTAAAATAATTACCTAGTGGTTTACCTTATTGCAGCGTAATTGGGATTAATCTCAACAGCTGAGTACAACTCTGTGATGTATTTTAAACGACTAGCTGGATCGGTGATAGATACATCTTCTTTTGAAATATGTTTTGTATTTGCAGACTTGTCTCTTTCTCTGCTCATATTTACTCACTGACAAAAATACACTGGTCAGTCATTATTATCAATTATCACGTTGTGGTTGACACGATGACACGAAAAATAGAATGACGTGTATAATATTGGTTCACTATTTACCTAATCCAAATGACTCCTTTTCGAGTGGAATGTCTGACTTTTCGTGAGGCATAAATTCAATTGTCATAAAAAATAATTCCTGTACAATTATGATTTTCTCCCTTCATGAGTCATAATAAAAAGGGAGAGCCTGAAACTACCTGCCAACTAGAACTTGTAGAATTTACCTCGAATTTCTACTCACGCGCTGAAGTCGCAATAGGAAAGAAATAGAGGGAAAATTCAAAATATGTGATAAGACTCAAGGAATGACTTCATTTTTGTTTTTACAATTTCCTTTGAACTTCATGCGTTAAAAAATATTTTTATTGCATAATCTGTACAAGAATAAGTAAATAAATCTACATTCTCTACTAATGAAATTACAACGCCATAATCGCGCGTTTGAGTGCTCGTTCCTTATTTTTTCTAACTTTATTCTTATGTTTTTTCGATTTTGTTGCATCGCGGAAAAGTTGAATTCCCTCTCTATCTTCGAGCTCCCTTTGGATGAATGCCATTCCATGAAGATTGAAGCCAATTGTGTCCTACAATAGAATAAATAAAAAAATATCTCTAAAACAAAATCATAAATTAATATAAATACCCTTAAATCTCCAATTCTCTTCATCGCCAGGTCCCTGACCTCCTCCAGGACAGGCAGAAGATCAGAATTAGCAGTAATAGGTCCATGATGTGCCTGAATAAGACTGACAGCCAATCTACTGAGCATTTCAGCTTGGTATTCACTCCTCAGCAATTTGGGAAGCATCTGGAGTATTTCGCAAGCCGTGGAGAAGGGCAGGAGTAGTAGAGTCTCCTCCATATCTCCAGCACGAACCCTCTTCAATGTCTCCAATAAATATTCCTCAGTTGTCTTGCAGTTCAGAGCTTGCATGAGTAACGGAAGTGCTGGAGGCGCATTGGGTGGCAGAACTCTCTCGCATTCCTCGTTGTAGGCTTTCGAGACATCGATACATTCCAGAATTAATTCAGCGGCTTTCTCACTATTCACAGTTTTCCTTGAAGGGAGAATTTGTTGCTTCTGTCCCTGAACTGCTGTTGTATCCCCAGTGGCAAGTTCGTTCTCCTGTTTTTCTCGTTCTTCCTCGGCCTCATCCTCGAGAACAAGGGGCTCTGATGATCTCTCGTAAAGTCTGACGACTTTGTCAGATCCACAGGACGCCACGAACATTCCATTGGGGGAAACTCCACAGTTCCAAGCTTCTCCAGCGTGTCCCTGAAGCGTCACGATTTTCTGGAAATTATCAGCATCCCACTCTTTGACTCTACCATCCTTTCCCGATGTGAAGAAATAATGTGTCTTTGGAACGAAACTCAATCCAGTGACGGAGTCATCATGTGCGAATAACGATTTGTGACAATCACCGAAATCCATTCCCCATATTTTAATATTTCTATCAGCAGATCCAGTTGCTATTAACGTGGAGTCACTTGATATGTCCATGCACAGTACTGGCAGCTTGTGTCCATAAAGAGAAACGATGAATTTGAATGTATCCAGGAAGAAAATTTTCACGGTAGAATCCAACAAAGCAACAGCCACAAATCTCCCATTAGGACTGATCCTGACACAAAGGACTCCCTCCTCCAGCTTGAGTGTCCTCTTATGCAATAATGACAGCACTTTGCACTTCCTCTCACTATCAGAATCCTCAATAAGCTCAAAGCTCCAGAACTTGACCGTCTGATCACCACTTCCACTGGCCACACCTTTCATATCCGGGTATACAACAACACTCCAGACCTCTCCAGAGTGCGCCTGAATCTCCTCAAGGACATCTCCAGCCCCAATATCAACAATCAGTATTTTTCCATTCTTCATACCGACAACCAAGTGTCTGTCCCCAGGGACAAAAGTTACGGATAATGCATATCCACACTCGACAGTCCTCAGACAAGCCAGTGACGGTCTATTCCACAATTTAATTGAATCCCCGGAGACAGTGGCAAATGCCAGATTGTCGGAGCTGAAGCAGACAGCCCTGACGTCAGTCCTGTGCCCCTGGGAGGAAACAGTCCTGAGTAAATTCACGTCTTTTTCCTTGTCGGTAATGCTCAAGGAATAAAGCTCTAGGGTGTTATTACTCAATCCTGCGCAGACCCTGAGCTCACCGCCCTTTCCCATCACCACGTCCACAGTTTTAGCTTTGGCGGTGACTTTGATCGCTGGAAGACGTCGCACTTCGTCGCTGAGGGTCGCCCCCTCAGTTTCCTCTTTTCCCTTTTTCTTCGCCTTCTTCAGGCGTTTCGATGTCCTCGTCACCGCCTCCTCTTCAGGAATCAAGTGAAATAATTCTATCGTGTTCTCTACTCCGTGACAGGTAATAACACGACCTGTGGAGTCAGACGAGAGTGACACAACTCTTCCCTTTCCTGTTCTTAGGATACTCCCAACCTTGTCACACCTGATGGGGTAGTTAAGGTCATTGGTCTCGTCGTCTGGATTTAGGGTCAGAGATTCTAGATTCTCGGGGAGATCCGTGGAGTCTGACAAATAGATCTTGTAGACCCTGAGCTCGTGGTCGTTGCACCCCGTGACGAGGTACTTGTCGTCCTTGACGAGCGTAAATCCCCAGACCTCAGATCTGTGCCCCACCACTGTTCTGAAGTTGTGCTCGGTGTCGAGATCCCAGAACTTGAGGAAAGTGTCTTTACTGGAGGTTATGAGGACATTGTACTCGAGCATGAATGAGACTTTAGTGATGACCCCCTTGTGACCCACCAGGCGACAGATTCCTGTCTCAGCCACGACGTCCCAGACGATGACATCCGTGTCCTTCGATCCGGAGGCCAAACGATGACCCAACGAGTCGTAGGAGAGTGTTGTTATTTCGGATTTGTGACCTACGAAGATGCTGATGGTCTCACCCGAGCGCAG